TTGTAAATATAGCAAAACAGCACGTCGACTGCATGTTGAACATTAGATGTTACGAACTAAAAGATCTTCTTTAAATCCTGCGTACATCCATTTGGTCAATGTAATTTATGAGTCCTTTCAACACCAAAGTGCAAACTTTGTATACACGCACTAATATTAGCTCCAATAAAAGTCCACCTGCTTGTGCAGCATATGCTCAGTAAAAAAAAAAAAACCTGTTTACTGCCAGGATAACATTATGCTCTCCCAGAATGCAATTGTCATGCTACAGTACTTGTTCCCCATTCGTTTTAAAAGGGTTGTATAGCTAAATGGTTAAAATTAATTGTTGATTGCATTCGTGGGTGCTGAGTTTTTATTGTAACTGCAATAGACAAGATTATGAAACTGTTTTACCTGTTTGTGTCAGTGGATGTAAAGAAGTTTAATTTAGGTGGAAGTACCTGAGGAGCACAAAAGTTGAGTTGTTGATGTTCTTTGTATTTTTATCTTATTACAAGTCTATTTGCATTCTGGAGGCAGAGGTTTGTTACTTCTAAGTGCAAAGTATTTATCCTTGTAGAGAGCTTATCCCGAAATGTCTACAGAGAACAGCACTGCCTGTAACAAAATTGTTGTGAATTGAAAAGCATGGCACATAAATGTTGAAAACATAAACAGAATCAGTTTATTTTCTACAGACACACACACATAAACTTTTGCAGGCCAGCAGAGACTGTAATATCACTCTCCTTCTGAGTGCCAAGCAGGCACCTGAGCACTGTGTGCAGTAATTGCACAAATGCAACAAACAAACATAACACAATTCAATTAACATACGATTTCTGCAGTGACTCAAGTACATGCTAAACAAACAAGGATTATATTGCACTTCCTGGAATCCGTATCATAAAAATTCCATTTTACGCAGAACTGACAACAGCTTTTCTGTTCACACTACATGCTGTTGCACTGAGTGATTTGTAGTAAGGAGACATTTTTATGATTCACATTCCCAAGTTACGGTGCCACCCTCTGGTTTGTTATGATGGTCCTGGATTCCCGGAGATAAATAGTGGTCATAGTTCACCATCACCCCAGATTTATATCTTTGGGTGCAAAAATTAAAACAACCGTTAAATTATTGGATAGGAAATTTCAGGAATACATAGGACAACAGTAGGGTGTTAGTGGTAAGCTGCAAAAACTGGCATAATGTTGTTGTCCTCATGATAGCTCTTGTGTCCACCTTGAAACATGAAAGCTGAAACTGTCTCTCAGCCATTCCACAGCCTTCAGAAGCTTTGTATACTGCTGTCTCACTTTGCCACATACATCTCTCTTTGGAAATAATCTTCCACAAGTGACTAAAGAAGTCAAATATAGGAAAATAAAGAACTGAGAAACTAAGTGCCTGCCCCATACCACACCGCATACAACCTGAAAGACGTCAGAACTGCAAGAACATAGAAACATAAAGACTGTGCTTGTAAAAATGTGGCAAGAGAAGATAAAGTAACTTTTTTAACTGGACCTTTAACTTTCAGACAGCTTACACTGCATATAACTCTGAGAGTTTGGCAGCTCAGGAGTTAAGTTTCAAGCTGCGGGGCAGTAATGTGATCAGTGGATGACCAGCCCTTCTCTGGACAAACAGACAGACTTAACTGAGTCACTTGGGATTAGGTGTGGAGTGTGTGACTGACTGAAACCTGCTGTCAGCATCTTCTTCTACCAATAGGGAGCTGACTTTGAATAAACAGACAGGAATCCTTCTGGAAGGCCCAGGCTGCAGTCAGTTATCTGTGGACAGTTCTCTCCTCAGACAATTTGCTTTAATCTTTCCGTCCTCAGCGCAGCCTGTGTGCGGTGGTAATAGAATTCAGTTTCAGTCCTGTGTAATCCTTTGGTCGTGTTTTGGCATTCAGATATAGTCTCATACTGTACATCAGTTTGGGTACCCTCTGTCCTTATCAATACTACAACCATAAAATTGCCCATCACAGTAAATATATTGCTAAATGTGTAACTCAAAAGCATTAAAAAAAAGCTAAAGAAAAAAACAATATTGTATCTTGTTTCAAATTAACCTATTTATTTAAATAAAGATACATACTGTATAAATACCACTTACATTTAAATACCACTAAGGGAGATGAATGAATTACTGAATGTAGTTTGTAATAAAAATGTTATTATAATCTGCGTTGTCTAATTCATTCATCCCCGTAAGTGGAAATTAAGATAGCATTGAAAGTCTTTGGAATTGTTGTACATTTGTTAGTTTTCTGACTTCCGTTCAGGTTGATGGTGTAGTTAATACTGAATTTATCAAATGATTTTCTTGTGTTTCTGATATATTTTGAATTCAGAGGTGAAAAAAGCATAAAGGATGAAAAGAAACCTATGGTCCAGTATCTTTTTCTCAAAACCTTCTTCTATCCGTTTTCTAACTGCTTCCAATTCTGCATCATGGGGAGCCGAATCTTATTCCAACAAGCAACAGGCACATACTGGACTGGACACCAGTCCATTATGGGGCACATTCAGACACTGACACATTTTTCCTAGAAACCAATTAACCCCCTGGTTTTTGGACGTTTGGACTGCGAGAAAACCCATACAAACTCCACACAGTCAGCACCCCAGTTCTGGAATTGAGCGCAGGGCCCCAGTGCTGAGAGGCAGCCATGCTTAACACTGCGCCACTGTGCTATCTTTGTTTGCAATCCACTGTTTGTGATTCTGATTATGCAGTTTTTATTTCCGTATTATGTTGCAAAAAAAAGCGATACAAATTTTACCTAGGGACCTGTTGTATAGCAGGAAAAGAGACTGATCAAACTAACACATACAGTATAGCAGTTTCTTATATTTTAAAGCACAAATGCTTGGAGTTTCCAATATGTGTGTGTCTGACAAAGAAAACAAAGTGCCTGTATCTTCCTAGCAATATTGCAGTTGTGTTCTTGTCTTTCAACTTTAAGGATTGAAACTGTCCCTTATTTTGGTATTTCTTGCATACTTTGTCTACTTCTTTTATTTCTTTATGAATCAGTTTTGATTTTGTGTCTTGTATATGTTATAGTTATTAAACATAAATATAACAAAATATATCTAAAGTTTTATTTTTTTATTTTGGGAATTTGGAAGCTTGATTTCCCCTCTTAAGTTCCCATTTAGAGAAAACTAGCATAGTTTAAATGTGGGAGGATGTGCTGTAATTGGCCTTCCTGCACGTGAGGTAGTCAGAGTGACAGAATGGAAGTATGGTAATTGTGCCTTCCGCTGGTAGGAGATGGCATTGCACGTAAGGAGCACATAAAGGAAACATCCAATTTGCCTGTTCGTCTGGCCCTTAGTTAAAATTATAATGCTGAGCTCTGGAGTTGCTGACATAGTAAGGACAGATATGCTTTTATTTATCACATAACATCACCAAAAGGCCCATATATACTGTACATAAACAGAACATAAACTGCGTCCCAATTGCCATGTTACAGGTGGAAAAATCTTAGTAAACAATTTAATGAGAACAACAAAAAAATCTTAAACAAGAAAAGGAAAGTACTGTAACTGAAATCAGACCCCATTTTCTGACACTTAAACAAACTGTAATAATTTAAGGAAATATACAGAACATGTGAAAATTTTAATTTTGAAACAGTGTAGATGTGTAATAATGGCTAGTTCACCAAATGTGTAAAACACTTGTTGTTCATACTTAAATATATGTTTATTTTAGAACAGTTATTGCCCATTAAAACATCATGACGGATAAGTAAAATTGTTTTAAGAAGTGAAGCACTTGAAGATGGCATTCAGGAAACCATCACACACAGCTGCAGAAAAGTTGTTTAATTAAAAAAGAATTAAGAATGTTGGCAATTATAAAACACCAGTAGCAATGTGATTAAAACATGCTGTTATCTGCTGGTATGGAAAATATTCGATTTCACTATGGGTCCCACATTCTGATGAAGTGGGCACTTTCCAGACTCATAGATAGCGCTGAGAAATCATGCAGATTAAGAATAAATTAATCAGCAGTCACTATCTCTGACTGAAAGCAGTTCCTGTTTTTATTAAATTGAAAACCCTGACATATGAGTCTCATGGTTTGGGGAGTTTGCAGGGTAGCTTCAATTAAAAGGGTTGGCATCTAACCCATCTAAAAGGGTTGGCATCTAGAGCTGACCTCTAGCTACAGCTCTTGTATTTTCACAATTGGCCTGGGAGAGTTGGTGGTGTTGTAAGAAGCTTGATAACATGCAAACATATTGCAGCAAATGTCTCAAGTGTATTACTTGAATACTTTGTGTACATTTATTAAAATAGCAGCATGGAGCTCATGGAGAGTATGGTTCTAGGTATTGTGTGTTTGGTAGGACAAACACCTGACTGAGGGTCACAGTGTCTGTCACAGTGTTAACTGCAATAAGCACATCTATTAACCAGGAATTCATAACAGACATTTCAGCCCTGTAATATTTTAAGAACGCTTGGCTGCAATTTCAAGTAAGTTCTCCCCTGGATCAGTTTCATTAGGCAACCAAACAAAGACTGATTCCTGAACTTGTCTGTAATGTGTCTAATAGATAAACAGTCTGTTATACTCTGTTTATTGAGTTGGGTGTGCTCTGACCTTTCCTGGATATTCCTGCTAGACATTTGCTCTGGTGTGAAGCTGGTAATAAAATTATCACTTTTATATCTGATATGATTAGAGTTGGGTCTCAGGCCAAAGGCAATAAAATAAAGACATAACACCCAGGCAGTTAGGAAGATCAGTGCTCCCATTTCAAAGCTTCACCACAAGTAGCTCAGTGGCATTTGTTCATATTTGTCTTATATATGTGGATGAATATATTCTCTTGCCTAGTTTTTTTTTCTCAGATGTATTTATTTACATGTTAGTTGGTTATGTTTCTCCATTTGTTGCCCTACAGCTGTTATTTCATCGCTTCAGCAAGCAGACACATGGCCAGGCAGTGCAGTTCATTAGGGTTAGATTCACAAACACCTGTTTAGCTTGGACGTTGTCAGTGTAATGTTATATTGGTCACAGAAGTTATATATTGAAGATAACATGGTCCTGAACATGTATTATGATACATTATCAAGTTATTATGGTATATGGTATATTTGTTAAAAAAGGACAGGACAGAATAGTGTTTAACTATTGCCAATTCTTACTTTTCTCTTGGAGCATGTGAGCAGTATGTTTAAGACAGTTCGGTGGTATTAAAATGAAGCCCACTTTAAATTAGCATGTGAAAATCTGCTCCCCAAGCAGATGATCAAAGTAGATATCTGGAAATAGAAAGTAAACTCGATAATTTATGATTGCTAGTTTATGTTCAGATGGTTTATGTGGATGGTTAGCTGTTGCCTTTTCTCTCTTGAGCTGTTCCACCTTGTTGAACTTGTTAAACTTCCACAGTGCCAGTGTTACGTTGCTACTGACATTGGAGATCCATTGTAAAATCAGACAAACAAGTCCTGTAAAATAATGTACCTGAGAAATAAAAAAAAAACAATGTTGTATTGCACAAGATAAATCACAGATCCCTGCCCTTCTCCCACCTCCCCAACTTAACAATGGCTTGGGCCTTACTCTCCTTCCTGACATCAAACCAGATGTTCCAACTGTAAACACATCAGAATGTGAATACCGCTTGGTGGTAACCTGGAGTCAGCAAGATGACAATGATAAATGGGAACTGATTCATAGCCTGTGAGGAGATCAAATTCAATGTTAATTTTCCAGTTTTTCTGCATTTTTCCTGAAGTCAAATGCTCGAACATTTCCATGTTGTGGCTCAAAATAAAATGGAATGAACTGTCCAGAATTTGCCTTTTTTGCCATTTCTGGAATTGAACAAGCTCTCCCAGTTCTGTAGACTTTAACAAAAGATCATGGCTCAGATGGTCCTGAATTGCCTGCCCAGCAATTACCAAGTGAAGACAAAGCTAAAGATCACTTTCACTTTATTGGCCATATACAATTTCTTGAATTACAAATTTGTCTTTTCACATACCCCAGCTTGCTCTTGATGAGACAAACAGTTACACAGACGGGGAGAGAGAAGCTTGGGGTCAGAGCACAGGGTCAGCCATTTATATGGCACCCCTGGAGCAGCTGGGGTTAAGGGCCTTGCTCAGGGGTCCAACGGAGTAGGATTCCTCTGCCAGCCGCAGTATTTGAACTGGGAACCTTCCAGCCACAGGTGCAGTTCCTTAGCCACAGAGCCACCGCTCTGCCCTTTGTGTAATGTGTTAAACTGTGCTATTTACACATTTTTACATAAGCTCTTTGAGCCAAAAAAATCCAAGACATGCCAAAGTATAGTTTTTTCGATAGTATGTATAATGAAAGCTTGAAGGTTTATGTATTAATGTATGAGGGAAAAATAAGTTAATCTACTTATGTGTTAGCATAAGTACTGTATGTATTTTTATAGCTCATGTGCACAATTTAAAATTATTCCTATTAATATGCCTGTGTAGAAAGCAACAGTCACCACTATCTTCTCTGAGAAATAATAGTACAATGCATTTGGTCTGCTCTGGCCTGAACTATATGTTTGAGTTACATAACCTTTGATACTCAGTGCAAAGATCATGAAGTGAACGTCGCTTCTGTAGGTTTTCCAAACCCAACCAAAAGAATAATGTTTCAGGGTTTCATCCTGGAGTCAGTGAATACCCTGTCTCAATTGTTTATATGAAATTCCCCACTGAGTTAGGTTTCAGCCTTTTAAATCTACAGTTTTCAATTTGTAGCTGTGTCTGCAGGTGAGTGACTCATTGGGCTCAGAGGCAAGGCAAGCAAAGCACCTTCCCAGAGACTCAGAGACACGTTATTAAGTGATGATATGTATCCATTCTTTCACCTTGTCAGCTGTCTGTTGGGTTTTACCTTAACATGGCACAGCATGATTAGGTTCTCATATGAAGAGGGTTAGGGATCAGCCAGGGTTGCTATACTTGGCAATCCAACAGGATTAGCGACAAAGGGAACAGGATGTCTTCTGGAGTCAGGTAACATTTTCATATCCAAGAGGGATGACCCTTATTATCGCTGTCATGTCCCTGGGTTGTGTGTTTGCTTTGCAGGGATACATATTTATAGATTTGAGCAGTATATAACACATAAAAGTAGACACTGAAGCAGCAACACATTTAAGGCAGCTCTGTTTGAAGGCACATTCCTTGCTAATACTTTGTTGGCTGGCAGGTTGTTCTGGAACGGAAGAGGTTGAACAAAAAAGAACCAGTGGAGTATAGAGTACTGGTAGCTGGAATAAGGCTTTTCAAGAGGTAAAAGATCTGTCAATGATTTTCTTTGGCTTGATGTCATGTGCAGTTATGGCTGTACTTTAGGGGTGTTGCTGGGGCAGATGTCCCTTTTGTTGCTGAAATACTGTTTTTCCTTTTTGAATGGACTGTGAGTCATGAAGAATGTTAACTGTGATTTGCATTCACATTGTGGCTCATTTTGTGTGTTTTATTATATTTGTGATACAAAGTGCCACAGTGCCACCTCTTTTTTTTAATTAGATAAGATCACTTTATTAGCCTTATTAGTAGATTTCTTTCAAACAGGTTCCATTTAGTGTGGGATTCTTTAATGTGGAAATCCTAGGCTGTGTCCCTCAGGTATCTAAAAGTAGAAGCTGAACGAACTGTTTAGTTATTTTCACCTGACATATTTAAAAGTGGAATATGACTGTAAGCTTGCTGAAAGTGTTGGGATGTAGGGTGGAATATATTGGATTGGTTTTGAAATTGAGTATACATCTCTGAAGATAACTTAGTTACTAAATTGGTATCTTTCCAGCAATTTTCAGTCTGCATTTCCTGGTGAGGGTCTCAGTCGAGTTGATGCATCATTTTTAAGGTATTCAGCTATTGCAACCATGCATAATGATAAACAAGAAAAATGAGTAAAAGATTACCTGTAGTTGAAGAGCAACATGGATTTCATTCCTCCTTCCAAACAGCTCAAATGTAAACTACTGTATAGGTTGACTTTGATGAACATAATGTAATTTCACCCATCCCCAACACATCCTTTCTTATTTCATTCTTTGCCTTTGTAAGGGAGTTTCACCATCACTTTCCAAGATGTTTTGGTCCAAAAGAAAAGTCCTCATAGGAATCCCAAGGAAAAAAACACCGCACCCATGAGGAACTCCCAAATTACAGTAGCTGCTTCATGTCAGCAATCACAAGCCTCGCAGTTATTATTGTTGTCCTAATTATTGTGTCAAGGGGGCCATATCGTATGTCTGTTTTCCAAAGCTGCTGTTCTAAAAGTTAAACTAGAGTGTTTTGGTCATGCATCCACAATTTCAAGGTAAGTCAGGATGCGGGTGGACAAGAGCTAACAGACCCTGCAGAGCCGTGTTGTGTCTGAGAGTGCTTCACAGAGGTAGGCAGGGAACAGTGTCAGAGAGAGAGACCCTGCAGCCAGATGTGTCTGCCAATAAAATACTTGTCATCACTACATAAAGTGCCTGCTTGGTACATTTCCATGAATACTTCACAATGTTTAATGGGTCAAGGTGTTGATGGCTTATGGCTTAGCACACTCTACCAGAATAATAAGAGTCCTGCTGGATCACAAATGCCAACACACCCATCGCATAAATTGGGTTAGCCATAACTGAACTCTTTGCCTGCTCTTTCATTGCCCAAATACCAAGGCTGTTGCCACATTTTGTCCTACCACTACCATTGCTATGCCTCCAGAATTTAACGTTTCATAGTTTCCTCCAACACAACATGACACTTGGCTGAAAAATTTATTTCAGACACACACAACTATTTTTGTAAAGAAATGTGCCGCCTTTGTTTTTTTTCATTCTTTTTAATTTCCACATAATCCTCGTTTTGTTGTTGAACTGACAGATTTGAGGTCTGGCTATATTACCATTTGAAAACACAAAGAGTTTCACCATCATCACCCCGTAATTTATGAAACTAAATCCAGAGCATTTGGTAACTGACGTGGTTAATTTTCCTGTTCATTCAAATTTGGCTTCAAATTGTGCAAGCACCCAGCCTGGTATACATGAAACACCAATGGAAATCAAACAAGGAAACATCACCAGTGGTGACAGTGGGTATAGTTTTTTACTGTACATCATCTCCATTAGCTTATAAGAATGAAGAAAGAAAATAGAACAAATACTGTTCATTCTCAATGCTTAGACATACTGTACTGTAGTTAAGCAGCAGTTACCACAAGTTTAGATTAAATATATCAAAATTATGTTGTTGTTCCATGTTGTGACTTTCTGTGAGACTGATTTCTGTTTGGGGGATTAGAAGAGTCAATGAATAATGTCTGTGTCTTTTAAATATTTTAGGTATAAGCACTTAAAATATTTTATGTTTATTTAAGAGTGTAATAAATTGTTGGAAGCAACTACATGGCTTACTTTTTCTGCTGTTTTAGAACTGAAGTGAGCTCATTAGTCTAAAGTATGGGTTTCAGCTATTGCTTGAAATGCTTATTTTTGGTAATGGCAGTAATTGTTGTTGATAATATAGCTTATAGTTGCAAGTTTTCTATTTGTTATCAGAGTTTCAACCAAAAACAGGGGAGGAATTTATGAAATTATCACATCTTGTAAATATTAGACATTTCCAGAGTATTTGGACGTTGAAAATTATTTCTCACTGTGTTGTAGTAGATCATATCCTCCAACTAGCAGAAACTGGTAAATGCCAGCCCAAGTGATCTCAAACCTTGCCTTCTGTTTCACATTTGAGCCTACTTGAGTCCACCTTATTTGCAGGCAGATAATTATAATCTATTATAATTTTAATTGCTACATTGTCAGCATAGAGTGTTTTTTAATTGGGAAAATTGGTGTGCGTATGTGTGTGTGGCCTTCAATGGACTGGCATCACATCCAGAGTGTATCACACTGTGTCTGTTGCTGGATTAAATGAAACAGTTTAAATGGAGGTATTCTCTTATAATGAAATCAAAAAAATGAAGAGGCTCTGTCAAAACACCTCAGTATAGTGGATCAAAAGGTTTGATGCATAACTTGCCCTGATGTAAGGACAGGTCTAGGTGCAATCCTGTTTTTTTTTTCTTGTCACTGTCTGAATGTTGCTCCGTAACTTTAACAAGAAGTGCTTTCTCTCTTAGTTCCCTCTGAGGAAGTCTGGCCCTGGCCGAGTCGTTCATATCTGTAATATACCAGAAGGGAGCTGTACGGAAAATGATGTCATCAACCTAGGCCTTCCGTTTGGGAAGGTCACCAACTACATTCTCATGCGGTCTACTCACCAGGTACGGGCCATTGTGCCAAGCCTGACACACATGCTGTCAGTCAGCTTTTCATTACCACGGCTCGGCAGAACCACATAACTGCCTGTGCAGTGTTTAAAATTAGAATGACCAAGAAAGCTAAAAATGATGTAACTTTTATGGAAGGATAACCAGTCTTCATTTTTTACATCTGGTAATTTTTTCTTTTTTCTCTTCTCATTTCTCATTTCAAATGCTCTTCTTTTTCTGGACACTACAACACATTAGTGATCAGCCCTTTGAGATGTTAATACAATAAATCACTTTACATAAAGAATGATTAAACCAAAAGGTGGTTAGCAATTACAAAAGCTGGTTTGTACAGTTGTTTACACAAGTTTATTTAGTTAGGGGCACCTAATTAATTATTGAAGATGCAATGTACTAATGCAACCCAATATTCTGCTGTCACATTTTGTTAAAAGGCTGTATTGCCCATTTTACTTTGCATGAGGAAGTTTTTTTATAGATTTTCTTTATTTTGATCAGGCCTTTTTGGAAATGGCTTACGTTGAAGCAGCCCAAGCCATGGTGCAGTACTATCAAGAGAACCCGGCCACGATTAATGATGAAAAGCTGCTCATCAGGATGTCAAAGCGTTACAAGGAGCTACAGCTCAAGGTGAACCCCCAGACTTCGTCGCAGAGGTTTCTGTTTTTTTAACAAAGTGCTTCCTTCAGAAGGTAATGCAGTACTAATCTGTGTGTTAACAGAAACCTGGGAAGGATGTAGAGTCAATTATTCAGGATATTCATTCACAAAGAGAGAGAGATGGCATGCAGGATGTTGAGTGGTAAGTAATCAATTTATTTAATTACTTTTCTTTAAAATGTCGACTCTAAAGATAAAGGTGAAAGATCCGCCAATATTGATCACCCAGAGCCAGGCAGTGAAAGAATATCCTTCAGCATTAATATTCAGAAGAAGAAAAAGAGTATGAATATCAAAATATTCTTAAAGTTCTAAAAGGACTAAATTGTAAGGGGTTCCTCTACTTTAACTAATATTGCGAAACTAGTTTTTAACTAGGGGTGGCACAGTGGCACAGTCGTTAACATTATGGATGTGGTTAGTAGATAGAAAATGGATGAATAGTTAAAGTCTTAGGTGTTCATATTGATTACACTACAGAGCTAACCTCTGAGAAATGTAAAGCACAGTTCACTCATTTCCTTAATATGCAGTTTTTGAAGCTCCAATCTGAAAGGAGCTAAAAGTCAATATAATTGCTGTTTTTTGTCTGTAATAGAAGCTTGTAAGTGAATATTCAACAGTACAGCATCGAGCCAAATGCCTTCAAGTCTTTCATTCATCTGTTTTCTAACCGTTTCTAACAACTTTGAGTCGCAGAGCAGGCAGAGCCTATCCTGGCAAAAAGTGGGCACAAGGCAGGGTACACTCTGGACAGGACACCAGTCTGTCTCTAGATAGTTAAAGGCTTGAGTGTACATTTTGACATTTTGAGTGTACTACATCTCAAGACAGACACACACACATAGACACAGAAACACACACTCACACCTAGGGCACATTTTCCCCCCAGCAGTGCAAGGCAGCAATGCTAACCACTGTGCCACCATACTGTGCATCTTTATTTCTTTTCTTTTCCAAATAAGCTCAAATAACTGTTCAAGTGAATATAATGTGTGATAGAATATGGGATAAAGTTATAAGGAAGTCCACTATGGGCATAGGATATGCCCTGTGGCATTTCCGCATTTTGTGTTGGAAAAAGAAAAATATCCTGCTGTCTCAGTTCACTAAAATAAATGCTGTCTTTTGTTCTCCAAAAAAGAAAAACAACTAAATTAATTAAAGTTGTCCTGGGGTAATTAAACACAGCTGTTGTTAATGGCAGTCCTGTGCTAATGATATACAGTATAATTGTGGGTGTGGTAGACTGGATTGAGATCAGGTACTGTATGTGTGCTGGAAACTAGGTGCTTTGACAAACTAAAGGAGCTGTTTTTTGGTTTTGGAGGAGAATATTATTTTGGTGAACCAAGACAAAAGTTTTTTTTCTTTTTTCTTTTCACCACAAATGGTGAAAAGCTACAGGCAGAAGAAACTATGCCATATCCTAGACCCATAGCATACTCTCCTATAACGTTACCCCATATTCTGGCACAGAGATGCATTGTTCAGTTGCTTAGTATCTAAGTTCAGTGCAGCATATATTGTCTGGAATGTAAGTAATGGATGACAATGTAACGAGCTTTGTGGGTTCTCAGTTATCCCCTAGAGAGGCCAAGGTCCCGCAGCCCCATCAGCCGGTCCCTGAGCCCCCGCTCCCACAGTCCCAGTTTCACTTCCTGTAGCTCCACACACAGCCCCCTGGGTACCAGCCGAGCAGAGTGGAGCAATGGCCTGAGTGAAAGGAGAGCCTCCTGGGACTGGTCCCCTCATGTGCGCCGGGAGGAGGAGAGGGAGGAGGGCTTCTGGCGGAACGAGGATGAGGACAGGTCAGACAGCTGGCTGCAGGAGAGGAGGAAGCCCTACCTGAAGCTGACAGACAGGGCGAGCCCCAGGTCTCTTGAGGAGAGGGGAGAGCCCACCAGGACCACCAGGGAGAGGTATCCAAGAAGCAGCCCACAAAACACATCCTACTCCTCGTACCGATGCAAAGAGGATGACTTCTACAAGAGAGAGCCCAGGCATAAATCTGACAGGCCTCCCAGACCCCCACACCAGCGCCACGAAGCAAAGTTGAAGAAGAGGGATCCCGAAGAGGGCTACAGGCCGAAATACTCGCACAGCGAAGCAACTGAGGATGCTATAGCCGCCAAGTCAACGGAGGACAGGAGACAGACAAGCACGGATAAGGGGCAGAGTAAAAGGCTGCACAAGAAGATGGCAACAGAGAAGGAAGAACAAGTATCAGATACCCAGGTAAAGAAAAAACTTTGTTATTCCTAGTCTGAAATCATGAAAGTCCTTAATATTGGCTAAAATGTTGACATTCAATTCTTAAAATCTAATAACATTAAATGTTTTCAAGGGAAGAAGCATAGTGAAAAAAAAACGTTTATGTCCTGCTCAGGGCAAAAGGGCAGCCGAGTATGTAATGCTGGAACAAACACCTGAAAACCCTTGAGTTTGGCTCCCCTACACTTTATCCTGCTTCATACATTTTGGGCCACTCATAAGATAAGAGATAAGATCACTTTATTAGCCATATACAATTTCTTGCATTAGGAATTTGTCTTTTCGCATACCCCAGCTTGCTCTCCATGAGACACACAGGCACACAGACGGGGAGAGAGAAGCTTAGGGTCAGAGTGCAGGGTCAGCCATTTATATGGCACCCCTGGAGCAGTTGGGGTTAAGGGCCTTGCTCAGGGGTCCAACGGAGTAGGATTCCTTAGCCACAGTGGCACCACTCTGTCCCATAAGTCACATGAAAAATGCAATTTCTGGTAGGTTTAGCAGTAGCGAAGCTGTACCATTCTGTATTGAGACTGGGGGATGTCTGATGAAAGTAAGAGTTGAATTGACATGGTGTGGAACAGTGGGCACATTCAGGGACTTGATAACACAGAAGCATCCGCACCAGCACACAGAAATTGTGTTAGATATAATTTCTGTCTTCTGTAAAATGTACTTCTTCATTCCAGGGACAGCAGAAGTACAAGGATCAGTCAGTATCTCCTAACCCAAAAAGTGAGGAAATGAAGGGATCTGATCATGAAAGAAGCAAAGAAACTCAGGTACACAACCCCCTTTTTTAAAAAAAAAGTTTCCCATAGTCCTTCTGAAAAACTAATGCCATTACAGGTATTCTCTTCATTGCAAGACTTACCTTCATAATAATGAGCTGAAGGTTTTTATTTCTAAACGGTATTATTATGTTTATAAGATCTTATGATAAGAGAGAATTGTATCGTTGTGGAATTCACTGAAACTTTCGACAGTGATAATACCTCTCACTTTTCTAGTGACAGTGACTAACCAGCGTGCTTCTTTCACAACAGCCAGAGGAGTCTGAGAGCGGGAATGAGACAGAGGGAGAGTCTTGGTACCCACAGGCTATGGAAGAGCTGGTCACAGTGGATGAGGTGGGGGAAGCAGAGGACTGCATCATTGAACCTGACCTCCTAGAGCTGCAGGAGGCTGAAGAGGCACAGGCTGAAGAGAAGGCAGAGAAGGTCTCCACAACCATAGACACTAGAGACACTGGAGAGCCAGCAGAGGAGGGTGGCCAAAGTGGCAGTGACACAGGCCACACAGCACAGGACAGCAGGGTAGAGGTCAGACCAGAGGAACACACTGAGCACAGATCTCCCTGTAGGGAGATCTCCAACACAAGCCCTCAAGATCCCACCCTTACCTCTGACCCTGAATGTCAGATATCGATGGAGCTTCACTCCGAACTCGGGGATTTTCCGAGCAGGGAATTCCAGGCGGCTTTCAAGGAGGCGTGTTCCTGCACAGACTCGGAAAGAAGGGAGGCTGATCTGCCAGCAGCAGAGGAGAGGTCTCTCAGTCCTGAGGATCTCGATGAAGGCAACAACCCTTTAGATGTTCTTAGTAGCTGTAAAAAGGGGGAAAGGGTGACGCCGATTGCAAAAGCTGCCACTGAAGAGACTGGAAGTGAGGATGAACAGTATGTGGAAGCACAAAAAAAAGGTATTTGAATATTTTTCAGCTCGTGGCACTTCAGTCTCAAGCACTTGTAGAACATATTAACAATGTCTTGCTCTTATTATGTTGTGGCACGTACAGTTTGGGTTTGTAATTTCTCAATGCTGGTATTTTTCCATGCTGAAAAGAGACACCACACTTTGGCTGTGGAGCCTTCTTCAGGTGTGGAAAAAGGCTTCACACCTGAAGACACACCTGAACACACCTGTAAAAGGCTCCACAGCTGAAATGTTGTGTCTCTTTTCTTTTCAGCATGGAAGAAACCTTTAGCTGTTCCTTTGCAGCCTACACATGCTAACGCAGCAACTTACTTGATTTTCACAGTTTTACAGTTTCTCTGGTTTACTCTTGAACCTTTTTCACTGTTAATTCATTTAACCAGTTCCACAGAAGTGTAAGTTCCCCACCAAAAAGTTCAAATATCTGCTATTAGGTTTTCCTTTAAAACCATATTTGATATAAGGAAATAAATGAAGCCAAAATAAAAAGACATGAAGTATATTAAAGTTTATCAGATTAACAAAATATTAATTATAGAGAAGAATGTTGAGATAAAAAATTTATACTGATACTGATTTATTTAAAAGTAGTTTGTAGAAAGGTTGCTATTTGAAGCAGCCTGGAGCAGCCTTAATTCACAGGCCAGATGAAATAGTGTCCAAGTCCCATACACTCATTGTGATAGTTTAAAATTTTTCCAAAACAAATCTGACTTAATAATTCTACCACACTACCTTGGAAAGTTTATTGAAGTAAGTGTTTGGTTTCTTGACTACTGTAGATGTTGCTATTAAGACTCAGAGCCAGTCTCCCAGACACCCAGAGGTAGAACCTAAAAATGTTCCATCACCACCACAATGGGATCAAGAGAACATTTTTGGTGAACACAGCATCCCTTTAGGTGAGTCCTTTCTTTTTGTGCACACTCCAACACCTAGCTGTGCTGGGATTTTTTCCCAGCTGCCAGAAATGAGCCGAGCTCGTGTTTTAACTGAGCTGTAGTGCAAATAGTCCTCACCAAACGAACTAGGTGTGAAAGGAACCTATTTTAAGATGCTTAGCATCATGTAGCAGACTGACAGGCTGTCTGTTAAATTACCGGTGATTTAATCCTGCTAATATCTGTATACAGACATGATAGTCTCTGCACTGGGGATAGCTTGACTATTTTAGGGATTTGTTTGGTGTTGTGTGTAGTTGATTCTATTAGGGTAGATGTTTGCAGTCAGTTATGCCATTGAGTGATCTCTATGCCTCAGACCCAACTGTTTAATCCCTTTTTTGTCTGTGAATAATTTATACTAACAAATAAAGCCTGGTAATATTATGAACTTCTTCAACTCTTAATGTAATGAAAATAGCCCTTAAAACTGTAATTGACATCTTCTTGTAGTACTGCAGCCAGCTCACAAAATACAGAAGCCTCACGTTCTCTTTTGTTATAAATTTCAAATCAAAGTCAAAGTCAAACCTCCACCCAGCCACCAATTGCAGGTTCCAAATGTTTGTAATAAGTGCGGATTTCTGCTTTCCCAAGGCCTCTGTCATTTAGTTAAGGAAAAGCTGATACCAAGAAATGGGTTGTAATTTGGTTTGATTGGGATGTTTAACTAAATTATGACTTAGGGTTGCACAGAAAACATTATTTATTTCTTTTAACTTGTCTGTCAACATGTACAGGGGTAGAGTTTGTCGTGCCACGGAGTGGGTTTTATTGCAAGCTGTGTGGCCTCTTCTACACCAGTGAGGAGACGGCGAAGATCACCCATTGCAGGAGCACAGTGCACTACAGGAACCTCCAGGTGAGAACACGCTGAACAAGTCAAAAAGTTTTAAAACAGTAAAATATAAATGGAATGTATGCTACAAAAGTACAAATAAATGCACCATAAATGTGAAGTTTGATGGATTGATAAACTACTGTAACATGTGGGGAGTGAAATCAGGTGCACTAACTCATTAGCCATATTGAGAATATATACTGTATGCATATGCAAAAGTCCTTCACCACCACAATGATATTCTGTCAAGATGTTTGAACATGGACAAGAGAAACAACCATTTCGAATTTACTGTATGTGTTTACACATATCAAAGGTTTCAATTACAAAATATTTACCTCTTGAAATAACATTTATTAGCTAAGACAAGGCAGTTTATCATAAATATTATGTTAGCAGGGACAAAATCCCAAAATCTACTGCTGGTTAACCAATCCCGAAACAAAGCACGGGAACAGAGGTCACTCAGTGACCAATTAGCTGAGTTGAGGAGATGAAATAACAGCTCTTGGCTTCCACTCATTAACCACTAAACACTCAGAATAACTGTTGACATATCTGTGATGTGAAGAAGTTCTAGCTGTATTATACATCTTAATTTACCTCAGGGCTGCAAGAAATGTGTCCATAATAAGTGGAAAATAGTTAAGGAAGGAGAGATGTGGCGTGACCCATGTGTGACTTGGATAGTCAGTGGGTGAGAGGCTCGCCGGGTGCCGCAGTGTGATCTCTTGCACTTGAAGAATGCACATGGAGTCACGAACCCTCTGCCCAACCCCCCCACCACCACACCGCAGGACTGAACTGGTGTCACAGAACACATTCAGCTGGCTTTGCAGATCCTCAATGGGGTGCAGCTTCCCAAGGCACAACTTCCTTACAGGCCAGGAGCAACAGAGCCTTGCAGATTCTGGCCTGTATTAAGTTGCTCATTAGTGCGCAGGCTGCATTACTTCCCCAGTTAAAGTCCCGACACAGCTGAAAACCTCGGAAGGAAAGACTCCCTGACATTTGTTTGGTTGAATTCCAGAGTGAAAAGCTGAAAAGCAGTTGTGCTGTCCATCAAAATAAGGCAAACCTCTTATCCAAACAACATGTTCCATGTTACAGCTTCACCAAGGGACAAATACTTTGTACTGTGTGAGGAAAATGCTAGTCCCGGTGAAAGATGTTGGCTTTAATTGAGGCCACTGGAGAAAAAAGTTCTGTTTATATGGAGTGTACATGTTAATGACACAAGGGAAACGCCTGCTTCTTCAAACACGTTTGACATAAAAGTTAAAAGTGTAAAAGTTGTTTGCCTGCATTTTTGCTGGTTCTGTCTATAACAAAACAGACATTCAAGATAGTGTTTGAGAGACTAAGTCCCTTTCTTTAGTTATGGTCAGAAAAGGCATTGAACACCTGGAAAAAGACTCAAGAGCCGTGAGGTAGTGCTAACAGTTATGACATCCTGTTGCATCACAGTGTGATGTGTGATCTTAATTAATACAGACACTTTTGTGATTAAAAGAGATTTTTTATTGTTGCTGCATGAATGTAATTTTAGAACCAAAGCAGCCTTTTCAGGGTAAATATTTAGAGAAATTGTTTTAGAAAACATAAAATATTCAAAATCACATCCTAACATAATTTTGAAAGGACGATTTGACACATTGAAATGAAGATAGTTTTAGCACTTTAGAAAGAGATTTTGATGATATTGCTGTAAACATCAATTAATTAAGTTTATTTAGTTTGGGTTACCTCACCAGTGATACGAAATTCCAGTCTTAAATCCCAATATCCATCCATTTACTATCTGCTTTGACCGATACAGGGTCGCCGGGGAGCTGGAGCCTATCCCAGCAAGCCAGTCCCAATAAATGTTTATTCCCAGCCATATGCTGTGGATAAAATATATTTTAATACTGGGAAAAAATAACATAACTATGACTAATGAGTACCAACATTATATTAATAGTTGGTAGGTTGTACTGTAAAATCCTGAAGGGTTTTGGGTTGTGATAACTAGAATGATCTCCCACTATCTCACTATTATATTAATAAATTTAAATTCATTACGGCTCTTTTGTTATTACATTTCAGTCTATTAGGCTTGTACAGTACCTAATTTTGGTCAGTGAACAGAGAAGCACTAGAACAAACTCTGGGCAAATGTGAGGAAAAACATGTTGTATCCAGTACCCTTTATTTTGGGGACCAAACAACTATCACACTTTGGTGTGGATAATATAAAGAAGCCAAGAAGCCATCCTTCCCTGCATGTTTTGGGGAGTCAGGAGGAAATCAGAGAAAAACATGTTAGCACATGCAAACTCCACGCTACAGTCCACCCCAGTGAGTCCGAACCAATCACATTGCATCCCCGTGCAACTCTCACTAGTCAGGACTGTACCTTAACTCAGATTCAGAAAGGGTCTTTCCTCCAGATTTGAAAAGGTCTCACGTTCCTCTTGCTTTCCTTGCAGAAGTATCTGTCACAGTTGGCGGAAGACAGCTTAAGAAGCTCCCAGAAGAACACAGCCAGCACGGAGGAGGCTGGGATTGTCCCGCAGTGCAAGGAGCTGAATAAACCCTGTTGATGATAGGTTGAGCTGTGAATTGATTACTGGAAGGCTTAAAAGCAGATGGATGTAATCCTTCAAAAAATGAAGAGCTGATCCGACCTTCCGGAATTAGACAGGCAGTGGAAATCTTGTAAAGAGTCGGGATAACGGACAGTGTATCCTCATTAATGTGAAGTAGTATATTATGGACTCTAAAAAACAGCAAACATCCCATGCAAAAGTACTATAAATGCCTGTGGGAAGACTGAACTGATTCTTTATCTGAGTGCTGACTTTATTGAAATGTAGTCGTTTATGGCACTGGGAAGTGGTCTGACAAACTAAAGAATGCAGGAACACATCTCATCAACATCCACATCAACTCAGGGTTTTAGTAACACTGTAGATTTTATAGAAGGTATTGCGATGTGGTCAGTCCTACGCCAGAGTGTTCTTTTGTACATGCTGTGACGCTCAAGATGCTATGTACGAAGCTGCAGAACTAAGACCACAAATAATTCCATTTTTATTATTCATTTTCAGGATCTTATATTATCATACAAACCACATTCTACTTGTTTTTACAGTTTTTTACAGTAAGGGCTTGTATCTGTACTTTATGTGTGAAGTAAAAAGCAATGTCCTGTGGAGTTAACACAAAATGCACTTTATGTCACATTGGTATAGTCATAGTCCAAGTCATTTGCTATTCATATGTTGCTTATCCTCATTTTTAGGAACCTCTTTAGTCTTTGTTCTGCAGTTTCCGTTTAATCTGGCAAATTGATTGTGTCATTTTTTATTTTTTAACAGTCATCCTCAATTATTTTAAAACATTTGATTCTATTAAAGAAGTTAGAGTAAAAGAAATTTACTCTTATTGCCTACAGCACAATACATACAATTAGATATTAAATATGTAAATAATACAGACTTTAAAAAATAGATTTTCATAATTAACTTAACTTTGATTGTTTTTCTTTGATTTTTAGTGTTGTTCTCTTCTACTTTTCACCCTGGCATTTGCTGCAAAAGTTTAAAATGACAAAGATGAATGTCAGAACAGGAATAATTATATGATTATAGACAATGTCAATTTCCACAAAATCACTCTGCCAAACTAACCTATTGTCCCTTAGGAATTGATTGAAGGTCATCAAATACAGTTTAACTCTTCATTTCTGAAGTGTTTTCGGAATGGTTGGATATCTCAGGTTCATCACAGTAATAACTGACTATTGTACTATATTCAGTGGCAAAATTAAAATTCTCAGCCACGCAGACCCTCTGATATTAATAAGAAAATTGAGAACTTGTGAATTAGAAAATAAGGAAGGGAATAGTGAAGTGAATCGAAAGAAAGAGTCATGAGATGTTAAATCAAATGTGATACATTCAGTACGACAGGAACAAAGTCTTATTTGATAGCTAGATACAAGTAACCTAGATGAATCCCAAGAAACACTTTTGTCCCAAAGGACAAACTTATGATTTATGATCATTTAAGATAATGAGCACTTTATTTACTTAATTGTCCTTGGCATCTGAGACAATAGGTTTAAAATATGCTCATCACAAAGTTTTTCTTGTAGCTGTTAATTCAGGCACCCTTTTATAATTGACGCCTGGGCTTTCAACCATTACCTTATGAATGCATTAAAAAAAAAGACAACTGTCAAAAGACTAAGCTAAGAGCTCAGTTTGCCATTGATTATACCTGATTTAACTCCTTCCCGTGCAGGACAGTTTGTCCCACAAGTAGTAAGGGCACATTTCTAATAGTATTTGCCACTGCTAATTTAAACATGCTTTTTTCAGAAAGGAAGGCTGTCTCTTAGTGTTGAAAAATCAAGACTAATGCACCAAAAAACAAACTGACAGAATGGAATATTGTTGAGGAGGAAGATGTACAACAAAATTACCAAATGGTCTGCCGTGGGGGAAATATTCCTTGAGCAGGGTAGACACTATAAGCATCCACATACGACAAATTGGCTTCTAAGAAATCTCACAGCTGGCATGAACATAAGTCACAAAAGTCAGTCCAACATGAATGCCATGTTCATGTAACCTGTCAGTGTATCCCTGAACAGTAACTTGCTGTGTAGATAGATTCCTAAGTTGCTGTGCAGTGTTCTGGCCATTGCAGCTGCTGTCTGAAGGTGATTAAGGAGAAGCATGAGCCTGTTCTTGTCTTGCACACTTGCACACACTCACGCCAGGGACAATTTTTCTAGAAGCCAATTAACCTACCAGTATGTCTGCAAACTGGGAGGAAACCAGAGCACCTGGAGGAAACCAACACGAACACTGGAAGAACGTATAAACTCCACACAGATAGCACCCCAGGTGTGGAACTGAAACCAGGGCCCCAGTGCTCGCAGCTAGGCTAACCACTGTGCTACCACTGTGCTGCCATGTTCCCCCTCTATAGCCTTCCCTACCATTGATATCACGATTTTCATGTACCATCTGAGAAGTGCACTCATATTGTTTCTGAAGGAGTTTGTCACGAGTCATTTCATTCATCATTGGATTATCATGGTATCACTGTGTATGAGATGGACTCTTTCTTTTTATTAAAGTGAACTTGCCTGATGTGCCTTTTTAAATACTGCAGTTACTGCACATTTCCACAAAGGAAATATGTACATGAAATTATTCTACACTTCAAGGATTTTGTGATATGTCAATATGCTGTCCCTTTTTACCAGTTATTTATGTGCAAGATGTTTTGTGTGCAAACCAAAAACTAACGATAAATTTGCCTAAAAAATGTTATGCAGTTTCTATATCTTGGCAGTATAGAACTACTTAGACTGCCTATCAAAGATTTTTTTCTAGAAACACTTATATAACTGCGATACGTATTTAATTGAAAACGGGTATAAATTTGCCTTTGCATGAACTTTAATTTACCCTTAAAAGTTTTGATAAAGTGATTTGAAAACTTACAAGCAATGGCAAATACATTAGGCCAGTCCATTAGATTGCTCAGGATTTCAGGTAAAACTGCAAATTGTTTTAAAATTGGTCAAGCATTTGCAATTTTAAATTTGCTACTTTGAACCAGTAATTCATTTTAAAAAGGTAAGTTTGGAAATAATTAACACCTTGTTTCCAATCTTTTTCTTTAATGTCTAGCTCAGAATTCCTAAGGTTGTAAATACCCATTTCAAACACTACAATGGGGTTTTAGACATGTAGTTGTTTTTTGCAACCATTATTGTAAATTTCGAACTCAATAGAGGCACGTACAGTATGTGGCTTAACTTCTGCTTGCATATTTTTTATAAACAAAGGTACTGACAAATACAAAGTGAGACATTCAGGGAATAATTAAAGAGAAAAAAATGAAGCAATGCCATTACTGGTGAAATACTTGAACTGGACCATTTGTGTTATTATTTATTATGGGGTTTAAAAACTACGTGGGTTTTGTTGGGGGAGGGAGTAATTGGATTTTGTTTTCTGTTTTCTGTACTGTGAATTCTGTGACACCCAGAAATATTGGTGAATTTTATGTTTTCTTTAGCTTTCAAATTTAAATTAATTTAGAGATGGTCTCAATAAATGTTTTAAAAAAAGACACTAAGCCTGGGTGTTATTTTTCTTGTTTTAATGCCAGTGTGGGGTAAATATAAGGTATAAGAAGACATCCTTCTTCAGTAAACAAATACATAATTTATATGTTCTTGCATTTAGACTAAAGGCTGCTTAAAAATTAAATTTCACTGAAGTATAAAATATATAATATTAAGTTTCAAACTCACTTTTGATAATATGTGTAACTGAGTGTGTTATGAGTTAAAGACAGTATTTTTCAAACCGATTGAACTGTTTCAAGTGCAGCTTGACCATGTTGTTGTTGCTAGGAGACTAAGAAAGTTCCACACCAGGGACAGACACATTGCATCTTTTGTGCTTTTTATTTTAAATGTACCTCCCACACCAAAATCAGTGCCCCCATTTTACAGTGGAATTAGTTACAGTACGTTTCCTTTGCACTTCTGTATCCATTATATAAACATCAAGCTTCAATATAAACATCCATTTCTGACCTTGCAAGATACAGAAGGAGAAGGCAGCATGATGTGTTTGTACTCTGTTTTGTGCTTGGTGTTGTGGCACAGACAAGGAGGACCTCTTTACTGCTCCGCTGTTAGAGTGGTGGACACAGTACGTGCAGTATTGTAAACAATTTTGAATACAAAAGGATACGTGTGTATATGATGCCCATTGCACAATATAAATTAATATATTTTCTGTAAAAATGAAATGATATCCAAAACAGTATTATAATGACTTGCTAAAATGTCATGGTTGTTAGGCATCCCATGAAGAAGTGCCACACCATTTCAAGGCCTCTGAAAGAATATGGACAGTGATAGCAGTGAAGAGTTTTCAATACTTAGTGAACATTATGGCTTTTTGAAACACACTTCTCATGATATGAGCATAGAAAAGCAAGTTATGGTTAAGGATTGTTACTCCTACTGACCGATTGATACCTAATTGTATTTATATTCTGAGAGAGATTAAAGAATCTGGTACTGTTGACAACAGGAAAACAAAATCTATCCGGAAGTGATGTTAATCTCCTCAGAATAAATTCCCTCCTTGACAGATGTGAATCCTGTAGAGATCTTGAGAATGACCTTGCTTCAAGTTCAGGTGTTAATGTCTCTCCGGGAACTGTAAAATGCAGAGTAGCACAAAATGCTCCCAACTGCCATATAGTAACTGGTTGCAAGCCATTTCTGAGGTGAGGAAACATACAAAGACAAATGAGCAAATACTTCTAAGCATCTACAAGGTTAAAGAGGCACAAACTGCACAAAGCCCACTCAGGAGGGAGAATATGTAATAACTTCACCGAGAAGAGACTAGAACACAAGGATAGAGATAATCAAAGCAACCCAATGCTACCACAGCCAGGCCAATCACAAGAGATGCGACCCAGTGAGGACTTCTTGGACATCTGTGCCGACAAAGCTGCTGCAGTAACCCCCTCTTCCAGGGGCTCTGTGACACTGATTCTGCACCAGGAATAGGCTACATTCCTACAGGGCTGAGCTACAGTACAGTACAGCATTCATCCTCAAAGTAAGCTTTCAAGCAAAACATGGCACTATAAAATATTAAGGAACAAGTAATAGGTTTATTCCATGCTGGAAAGAGAAGAAAGAAAACACAATGTTCCGCCGAAACGTTGTTTTCTTTCTTCTCTTTTCAGCATGGAATAAACCTATTACTAGTTCCATTGCAGCCTACAGTACGCATGCTGACGCAGCTACCCACCTGACCTATAACATATTGGACCCATCATGAAGCAGCATACCAAATTGTTTAGGAAAAATGTATCTTGTGATCATGAGACCACGTGATACGTTGTTTACTACCATATAATGCCCCATGAATAAGAATTTAATTTTTTAAATGTCTACGATAGTAAGAGTCTTGTGTTCAACCATAAAATGTCAAGCATTGCCAGACCCTTTAAAAAACGACAAATTGACAATTATTTGGTTCTTTTTAATCTTATTGTTCGTGCTGCTGCTACTGCTGTAAAATACATTTCTTGAATACCGTGTTATTCTCGGCCGCCCTGACTCTAACGCTAAAGAACGTTTTTCAGTTTTAAATGGGGAGGCGCCCTCTAGTGGATAAATTAACAGAGGAGCAGGGGGTTGATCGTTTCTCATCTGATTGCAGAGTGCAGCATGAAATTTAACAGAAGAATACCAACAAAATAATTGCTACAAAGGAAACAAGATTACATATGTTTTTATTTTCCAAAGAAGCCTGTAGTCTTAGTTATTAGTTTTGGGAACTTATGTCTTCTTAGGTTTAATATCATTCCTACAGAGATCCTTCATGTGTCAAATAGGCATCTGTAGCTGCTGCAGTACTATCGGTTTGATTAAAGGTTTTGGTGCCTGTCTGTGTGGAGTCAGCATGGTCTTCCAAAGACAGGCAGGTTAGGTTTCATTGGTGAGTTTAAACTGTCTCTGTAATGAAAGCCACCTCTCATCCAGTGCCATTGCAAAGTTCTAACACGTCTGCAAACATGATGAGTTTTTTTTACTTGTTCTTTGTAAAAAAAAAAACTATACGAATGTCCTATTTATAATTCCAAGCATATTTGCAGACCCATGAAATAGCAGGTCGTGTAGATGTGAAAAAGTACTTTATCAAGTACTTCACTGATTCACAAGGAGAACGTGGGGAAGACCAGACTAAGCAGAATTCAGCCAGGACTTTGGTATTAATGCCCCCCTACTTTTTCTGAGTTTTTTTTTTACGCTTACATATCTTTCCAAACTACGAAAAAGAAGCATTGTATTTAAGAATTTAATAAACATAGAAAGGGAGACAGCATGATTGTATACATTATTTCATATTTTGCCTTTAATGAAAATAATCCATTTACCCATTTTCTTACCACTTCATCTAATTCAGTGTCGAAGTGGAGCCGGAGTCAATCTCAGCAAGCAATGTGGACAAGGCAGGGTATTCCCTGGACAGGACAAACACACTCACACCAGGGTCAATTTTCCTAGAAGCCAATTAACCAATCTACAGTATGTCTTTGGACTGCCGAAGGAGAGCAGAGCACCCAAAAGAAGCCCACACGATCCTGAGAAGAACTAACAAATTCGACACAGATAGCACCCCAGGTCCAGAATTGATCCCAGGGCCTGAGTGTTGTGAGGCAACAATGCTAACTCCTGCGCCATTGTGCTGGCCAATAACTATAATACTGTACATAATAAAATAGTTTTGTATTTTTAGTTCTGATCTTCTGTTCGTCTGAGGAAGATAAAGACCTGTTGTCTTATCTGGTTTAGTGTTAGTGTCTGTGAGTGAGACATGCTGTTATTGTTAATGTAATGTTTGTATGACATGAAAAGTCAAGGGTTTAGATGCCTGTGTGGGTACTTACATTCTTTAAAAATAGTATTCCTGCTCTGCCGCGCACATTCTCTTTCTGTATTCAGGTCCTCATGATCCTTTCAGCTCCATCTGCTTTTATATCGGCAGAGCCTCACAAGGGTTTTGTATGATAAAATAAGAATAATGCACAGCACACCTATCTAAAGTGAAAAAAACAGCTCAAGAGCATCTCTCCTATCTCCCACGAACAAAAAATAAATGGTCACGCAAAGGCACAGTGCCATTGCAGTTAAGATTAAATGTACCAAAGAACAAGGCAAGGCCATGTTTTTTGACACACAGTAGTACGTGGAAACGACTGTCTTAAAGACACAGCTTCCTTAGCCAGTTTGGTATTGCAATGGATTTGATTCCTTTAATCTTCAGTACAAGGCTCTTGTGCTTGTGCTTTTGCATTTCCTTTCCCCTGTCTTAAATCTAAAAGACACTAGAATGGAAAAGCTAGAGAGTGATCTGTAAGCAACCAATCTAATTACTGTGTACTAACAAGTTCCAGTGCTGGCTGTTGATGAGCTTAGTAACCAATGCAGATTCCAGTACACACAAAAAGAGCTTTTAATAGAACAGAGTACTGAATTAAAAATAATAATAATAAAGGCATCAATGTCAGGATACTGCAGGTCTTTTCAATCATCTATTGGATTGGACCTAAAAAATGGTTCTTATCCAAATAATTAGTTCAACTAAGTAATTAAGATTAGGGGGGGTAGTGACTTCTGAAATACATTATCATATGTTACAGTACCAAAGGACAGTTACTTTAAAGGAATTTAGACTTCTTGATTTGATATAAAAGACTCAAGCTTTCACAGCTCTGATAACACTCTGTGTCATCTTCCCTTGCTTTGAACCCAGTGTTTCTTTCCTTCCAAAGCAGTGTAACCAGAGACAGATCTGTGACCAGCATACTTCAGTGGGCACAGACAGCTGGCAGTTCCTACAGTAGATTTATGAGCTCAGAAAAGAACAAATGAGGTGAGTGGCTTGCTGACATCCAACTAGTCAGAGCCTTTTGAAGAGCTGTTTGCAATCATGTGTCACCTGTAAAACTTTATATCCACCCTCTTCTACAATGACAGGCAATCTGTGCAGCATAAAATCTTACCACGTCTTTTTTTTTAAACAAGATTTTGTTATTCACGGTGTTCAGCATTCATTTGAGACACTGAGCTTAGAACTCCCATGTTTTTCACATTGCTATCACAATTATTTGCTCTCCCTCAATAAAAAATGAAATAATTACAATTAAGTAGCCTGTGACTTAGTGAAAATAACAAGAAAGTGAACCTCTCATTAAACTTGAAAAAAAAACAACAGTTTGGCTTACAGTTTTGTGTGAAAAGAGCAATAGTGTCCACACCCTGAGCTGTAAAAGCAGAAGATGAAAGCCTTGTGAATTACTTCATTTTCACAGGCTATCCAAAAGTGGAAAATAAAAATCCTTATCAAGGACATTTGTGCACCAAATATTTACAAGTTTTCTTGTAAATGAGACATTGAAAGGTAGCTAGCCAATTTTTTGAAAGACAATGTTATTAATGTAATGCCTTCCCTTCTACTGTTAACTGTTGTCGTTGTCAGGGTTTCTTAACACCACCTTATCTTTTTCAGTTTCTAGGTTTCACACAAGGTTTATTTATATCAAAAGGAGCTTTACCACCATAAATCAATGTTCTTCCCACTGAAAATGCAGGGAATGTACTGATTTAGCAGTTTACATTGTTAAAATATATGCTTACTTGAGCATTTTTGAAAGCAACTTCACTGTTTTATTTCAACAAAAGCTCATTTAAAAATGTAATGTGTTATAAAGTAAGTTTAATGCATGTGGAGGGTAATTTTGCACAAAGCAATTGCATAAAAATTTCGATGATTAATTCTCTGAAATTAGGCCCAATTTATCTAGGGTAACATAAGACTTGGATGCATGTCACCATGGTAACAAGTAGGCCATCATGCAGTGAATCAAAAATAAGTATATATTACAAACCACAGCGCAAGGAAGAAGAAAGAAAGGTTTTAATATTAATAATCTGCATGTTTACTAGAGATTAAAACTTAAACCAAAGAAAGAATCCATTCATTTTTCTGTCTATACCTGTCTGTGTATCTGTAAGTTTATCTAAACACAAAACACTGTATTATTGCTTTTTATCTGTGAACCAAGAGAGCACTGTACGTTGGATTGACAGTGAGGAGCTGTTATTGAGCTGCCTGTCACAGCATGGAGAGTGTTATTTACACCTGGATGAGGCTTAGTTTTGACCACAGTGCTCCACTTGACCCCTCTGTAAATGGCAGCTTCATTGCTGCAAAGAGGAGCAATTGGCCAGCGTCCCAGACAAGGGAAGTCTCACTCTCTTACTGCCGCCAACACGGAGGTGAGCCGTGGATCCACTTATCCCCCTTTTCCTCAGGAGGCCTGACGCCATCGCGGAGCAGCCCAGAGAGACAGTGGTACTGTACACTGCTGAGCCAGAGCAGTCCGGCTCCAGTCACATCTAATGAGCAGGCTGCCTTCCCGCTGCTTGGGCTGCTGGCCTGAAGGTGATCAAGCGCTGCATATGAGATAATATCTGTCTTTTTTGTATCTGTCCATTGCTGATTTGTAATTTCTTTTAGTGGGATTGTTTTCTCTCTCACTCGTTTAAATCCAGTGTAATCAGACTCATGCAGGACTTTAAGCAACATGATTGTACATTCCCCATGTGTGTTATTACTTTGGACATTTCATTCATTGCTTAATGTGAAACAGCTGGATTTTTTTATCAACTTCCCCACAATATACTGTGTATCAGGTATAATTTATTTAAAACCTATTTTTTTTATAACTAAGCACGGTTTGTTTTCTGGTTATTGTGAAATTCACTCTAGCTGCGGGTTCTGTATTGTTGTACCCAGTCTTCTTGTGCTCAAATTATCCGGTTTAAAAGTTACCATGCGGAGAAAAAGAAATCTGCGCATGAAAAAAACGCTCTGCGTGCTTAAAAGAGAGTAGTCCAAGGACCGAAAGTTATTCTTGTGAGGTTGAATAGTAAGCTCTAATGACTGCCTATAACTACGCAAATAATTTTCATGAACTGAAAATGATTCAAATACATAGTAAATACATTTTAAAGAATTTGTATGTATGGGACCATCTTCCTTTTCATGCGTGCTGCTTCACATTGCTTTGAGAATTGCAAATAATGCATCATCAACAGTATGGAAGACAGGGGACGCATATACAGTAGCAGGTTTGTTAATCTAATATGCGTAACCGCATCGTTCGTAAATCACATGTGTTAAATACTTTTTATCACGGAAGTATTTTACACGCTTTTGAAACAATTTGTGTTAAAGCGCCAGAAAAGAGTGCAATCATATCCAGAATTCCAATGTCAGGAATTCTGATGATTCTCCAAAACCTCATTTTATTTGTCATTGTAGTGAAAACCTGCGTTTTGAAACAGTACTTTAAGTTGTATCAGATCCAAATTTTGTAATTATTTTGTCTAGTTTTGTTTCAGAAGTAATTATCAATGGATACTTACAACCTGGTAACCCTATATAAGAAGTGTATAGGGCTACCTCACCACAATGCAGTCGATTTGTTTAATTAACGCGCAGCGGTAGTACAGGACCGCCAACCTGTAGGTGGCAGCACATAAAAAGGTGGAATTGACTTGTTTTATTTATTTTCGTAAGTGAGTTTTTAAAAAAACATGCAGTGGTTCCGATAGGTTGTTGAAGTATTCCGCCTCCCTTCCTCTGACCAATAAAATGCAGGGGTGGAGATCATGTGACATTGTTGCTGGGCAGAGAAAACAAAAACAATCGAGACTTGGAAGTTGCAGCTGGGACTAGGTTTGAGTGAACACAGTAGGTTAGTACAACTAGTGGATACTTTTGCGGTCATAACATTGCACTCCAGTTGTAAAGTATGATCGCTTTTGTTCAAATTTTGTAATGTACGAGATAAAGAAAACAGAAATTAGGTGTTTTCGGAAGCTCTGATTGTTGTTGGTTAAGTACTCTAGATAATAAACATAGTTAACACTAAGTTGCCATACTCGGTATATAGTACAAGACTACAGGTACTAGTAAACGAAACAAGGACGTTAAATCAGAAACATGGCTCAGCTTCTTTTAGTGCTGTTGAATAATTAACTGCAGCTGCTTTGCTGCATTCAAATTATGGCATCATGCTAATGTAGTGCAATTGATGCGTTAGTCTGCATTATTCTAAGCATTTACTGTAATGGGTCATTTAATGCAGTGTTTATCCACGGTAATGTATACATTTGTCATTATTTTACGTTTTGCATCAGGTACTTGTTTAATTTATCTGCTGGATTTGCAGAGCGAAACTCGTAGAATTTTCTAGAAACCAAGTAGCTTGCCAGTGGTACCCCACTAATGGTGGGGACCGTTTACATCATCTTTACAGCAAAATGTTTGAATGATGCTCTGGGGTATCGCCGTGGCTCAAAGGTATAGGAAACAGGGAATAAGAAATCAAGATCGTGTGTGACACAATGCTGTTCCAGCAGAGAAAGGGGGACAGAGGATCTCCGGGCATGTACGGACAAGTGTGTGACTTCAATGTCTTGCAACTTTCCTGCAGAATTTTCGTTTAGAAAAACACGTACACGACGTGCAGGGAAAGCCGTGTCTGCAAGTGTGATAAATTTGCATTTTTTGACGGAAGGATAATAACTTCGGCTTTTGTTTTGCTTTTGCAGCGGACCGCTTTGTGCACCATGGCGACCGAAATCGAAGCTTGGCTTAACGCTAACCACGTAGGTAAGATGCCTCGTTTGCTACACTCCCCCTACAGCCAGCTCGTTTTTTAACATTTCATGTTTTTTTTCTTGGATTTTAATGTGTTAGTTATGGACTTTCTCTTACTTTATATTACCGTGGCGCAAAATGCACGAAGGAAGTACAGGCTGTTATTTGTCGCTGAAGTTGGGGAGTCAGTTGGAAAGAGGTGGGTAACGCTGCTCTGGTGTTTAAGGAATCTGCTCTTGCATCCAGAGTGACTTGATAAAACATCCAGCTGATGGAAAGACAAAATGCGGCGACTTCCATACGTAGCTCAGAAACGACGAAAGACTGGAGTTCAGCATGTGCCAGCGAGTATATTTTATTAATTTTAAACGGCTTGTTAGATCTTCACTTAATGAGGTAATTGAATTGTACATTCTGCTTTCAGAGTGACGATTCATTTGATAAGGTTCTGAAATTGAGTTGTTAGTTTTTACGGAGAGCACTTTTCTCTAAAGAAAAGAATGGTATATGCTCTTAGAGTTGTATTGCAATCTTGCGTTTCTTTTCATTACTTTAAAAGGGTCATATCTCTAACTTCTAGTTATTCAGGTATCTGTAGTTATACCTAAAACTATAAGGAGGTTAAGTAAGTTCTGTAAGCATTAATTACCATCTATCTGTATGGTTTAATTCTGAACCACACCTTGCATTGACATGTTTAATTAAAGTGAGGCAAGCCCTTTTGCAGACATCACAGTCTTACATATGCAATTCCTGTTCACACAAAGTCATTTGAGCTTATTACGGAGATTATTGGGGGTCTTTTCAGTTGTTCTGGAGTGTCCTTTGCTGAAGTGTGTAGTTCCATACAGCTTGATTTTGCTTAATCTCAAAGTGTTGTGTAGGAGCAGCTCCTGACTGACTGTGATGGACTTGAAAACGCATGCAGAGAAATTCATGTGCTGCTCTCGCCACTAACCAGCTGCTCATTTGTAGTACGGCATTCTAGTTTACAAATACTGTTTTAAGTTTCCACAAATGTTGTCCACATCCTGTTTAAAATCGTGTCCAATAGATAAGTCACCTTTCTCTTGTTTGCAGTAGCGCAAACTGATCATCGTCAGTGTAATTGGGAGAAAGCAAATCTGAGCCATAAATCTGCTTTGTGAATCTCCTCATTTGGCCAAGCTCGTTTACCACTAAGGTCTTTTTATGTTTAGTTGAAGAAATAGATGCAGTTTAAGATCAAACTTAATTCAGTGGTAGACTACCATGCATATCTTTGGCAATGGGACTTTTTTTTCCCAAATCAGTGCTATTTAACCAGTAGGACTAGCTTTGTGCCTTGTACTGCTAGAAATGGCAAAAGGTTTAGTAAGTAGTGTGACCAAATATGGTGGAATATTAATGAATTAAGTCTGATCTTAACTGCAATGGTAAAAAAAGTGGAAAACATTGTTTCATTTTACACCTGAGAATTTGATGTTCTTGACTTGTCCTTTTATTACCTGTACTGACCTCATTCCAGCTGGCAAGTTTAATGTCGGATGCCTCACTAGACTGTCACCAGAATCAGATTTGTATGTCTTTTTAATGTTTGTCCTGCGTGAAAGTACCATCTGAGTGAGGAGCAGAGCAGCTCTTGTCCAAGTGGATTTCTTCAGCACATCTTGAGAGACCTGTACTCTATACATTCAAAGACGTGCAGTTAATAAAGATGCTTTAAGCTTCTCCTTCCCTTTTTCTTCTGCTTTAATAGATTTGGCTCATGGCTACAGTGGTTCACAGAAGGCAAATCTTTGTTTTCCTTCTGGCCAAACAGAATTATACTGGAAAGCTTATCAACTTAAGTTTAAATGAAGGTTTAGGCACAGGGAAGAAATCTGTGGAAGGAGTTTGAATGTCAAGAGGCCAGTTTGATTGAAACAAGACCCATGATCTGTACAGGTGGTAACAGCCAGCCTGTTTCTTTTGAGATTTCCATAGTGGGGGGACAAAAAAATGTGAGTGGGACTAATGAGTGAATTGTCTTCTACAGCAGCCGAAGCTTTGAGTGACTCCAGTCCGTCTGGTGAAGACGAGAAGGTGGAGACCACCAAGCTGGACAATGAGATGAATGGGAACTGGATCACCTCTCCCACAGTTACCATCCACGAAGCGCGGGTGAAGGCCAAGGCCAAGAGGCGGCTGAGGAAGAACTCCTCCCGAGACTCTGGCCGGGGGGACTCCCTCAGCGATAACGGGGAGAGCACCCGCAGCCCGCTGGTCACCCCTACCAGCCCCAAGAGCAAGCTGCTGGACAGAAAGTCCCGGTCTGGGAAGGGCAGGGGACTGCCGAAGAAAGGTAGTTTTCTGCCAGTCTTGTCTGTTTTTCTGCAAGTCCTGCTTAATTCGGTAGTTATCTCCAAATATGTTGCATTAATTTTTAAAAAGATAAGATTATCAAGTAGCAGGTGAAGAATCCCAGATGTGATGTACAGAGTAAACTCGTAAATGTCTTTTTGTTTGTATGAGTTAGAAGGATCCTCAAACAGCTAGTTTTGCTGACGCCCAGTTGATGCAATTACCTAGATGAAAATGTATTTGATTTTGGACTACCTTTTACAGATAAAATAAGTGATATCCAGTTGATGTGAAAGTAGGTGCTAATATCCAGAACCTGTTTATTTGACCTACATTGCTCTCTGTTTCACTGTAGGTGGCTGTAGTAGTGGTTGGGTCTTCTGTTCATCTGGTGTACCCGTTTGGGGTTGAGCTCATACGTACAAATGCAATAGCACAGGATTTCAGTGTGTTACCAGGTAGTGCATTTTATAAGGGATCAGAGCAATTGAAAACCCCCTTTCTTGTAGTGTCAAGTGAATTTAAAAATTAAGAGTTGCATAAAGTGTTTATTCAAGTGCCGAAGTGCTTGAAAGAGTCACTGAATGAAGTGCTGCACAGATGTACCCCGTTGCCCAGATGCCTGCTTATCATGGGAATTGTGAGATCACTGTTTTTAAGGGGTTTACTGGAGCCATGTTTTTCTCCTGCCTGGTTTACTTACTAAGGTGTGATATAAAAGTGTTTCAGACAGGAGCACTGAATACAAACACTGTAGGACCAGTGGTTACATCCTTTGTCAGTCATTAAATAGGGTGTTTCCAGTACATCTGAATTTGAGTTGGATAAGTAAAGTTGATAATTACTTCAGAATTTAATTTTCCTTTAAAAAACATAAATCAGTGACTGCACAAAACTTGCATTAAACACAAGGAAAGCAAGTGAGGCTTTGAAAACTCACTGGTGAGTCAGGCATGCCCTGATATTTAGCAGCAAAGACATAACATTTGAAAAGGTAGTGTTTCATGCTGTGCTTTCTACATGGCCTTAATCAAACTTACATCTAACCTTTACACGGATGAGATACAAAAAAGCCTATTGCCATTCACCTAAAGGTTACAAGACACGGTAAAATATCTTTTGAAATTAATTTGCTAGGGGATTAAGATGCATAACTGATATTCTAGTTGCAATTTTTAGCTGTTACCCATCAGTTGGAGAATCTGACAGTGATATTTTCCTTGTTGTATTTCTGTAGTAGAAAATTAAAGTTTGCTTTTTGTCATACAAAGAATTTACAGATCAAGAAGATACATTTTGTGTAGGTGCACATCTTGTATGCAGAAAAACTACATATGGTGCTTCATTGTCAGAACTCTTTATTTTTAAACCAGCCATTTGTAAATTGGGAATAATCTTTTGACCGATGTAGCCCAGCCTCCTCTTTTAACCACTGCTGGTGTCTCTTACAGTTTCTGTTGACCCCAATCTTGGAAGTACGTACTGAGGGGCTACGTGCTGCACGATGATGACTTTGAGCCCCGTAATGAATGAGATAAAGGTGGACTTTCCTGTTAATCCCTCAGAGTACATTAGTCTAAGTCCCACATGAGTTATGATAAGATGGAACAATATGCCTTCTTTGGCAGACTTCCAGGGCAACATTGTTTTTCCAGGTCAGGATCAATTGTCAGAAAGTGCTCATGGTGCCACTGAGCAATTTGCTCGACTAGCTAGAGCTATTTTGCTCTCCTCTCATGTAGGATACCAGCCATTGTACTTACTATAAAAAAACAAATCCTAATTATGTCAGAATGGCTCATTTTAACACCAAGTAGTGTTTAGTTTGGGCTCTGCAAAGTAGCCCATTGAATTACTTTACTAATATGAAGTTTTATGTATGGAGATGATGGAGATGGTACCTTTATTAGGTATAATTGACTTGTACTTTAATATTTAGTTTTTTCTTGATAAGAAAAAAAGAGCTGAGATATACCATCACCACTTAAATAATCACATATTTACAATGTACAATGTCTGTTGGAGCCATTGCAGAACTAAAACCTGGTAAACAACTCTGGTTGATGCTGCAGTGGTATGTTTTAGTTGACTGGCAATTCTCATGACAATGACACAATTCTCATTTATTGTATCTTATTGATTCTAAGTCATTTTTTTTAACCTATATCTGCAAACTGGCAAAGCTGTCTTTTACTAAATGTTTGCACCTGCTTAAGATGACTAACCCGGAGGTTTGTGTGCCTGGAAATGATTGAGCTCATTTATAAAAGCAGCAAATGGAACACAAAGATCGATTTAGGCTAGGAACAGAGATCAGATTTTCTTTTTGGGTGTGTTTTTTAGCCGTTTTCTTTAGTTTCCAGGGTTAAACAGATGGTCTGCAGCCCAATAACTTACAAGGACAAATACAAAAAAAAGTGCTCTGTCGGAGACATTGGAAATGAGTGAGTGTGCATTTGGTCTTGGAAACCAATAGTAAAGAGGTGAACCTGCATGTGCGCCTGCTCTTGCTACCCTTATATTCTGAGCAGGTTCAGCAGCAATGCGAATAATGAGAAAAATGTTGTTTTTTCTTTTAGTGCAGTTAAGTCTTTATTTGACCAATTTAACTCCTACACCTCGGTCATAACCTGCTCACAATTCAGTGAGACTTCGATGCAGCACTGCAGACAGCTTGGGGTTCATAGCTTGGAATGCTGTACCTTTCAGCATGATACTTCACTTGTATTGCTCAGATAAATATTCTGCTGCCTCAGTGAGTTCTTTCCATATTGTCATCGTCAATGATGGTTTCTTCTTCACTGATTTTGTCGGTTTAAAAAAAGGATTGCAACCTTAAAGGAACAGAAGGGGCTCCCTGTGGCAAAATCCTCAAAACTTTTATGCTGTAAAGCTGGCTGATATGCCATTGTAGTATCCATCCATCCATTTTCTGTTTTATCCAATTCAGGGTCATGGTCAGCCAGAGCCTATCTCAGCAAGCCATGGCCACAAAGTGGGGTACACCCTAACCGGGACGCCAGTCCATCGCAAGGCAGACACAGACACCCACACACTCGCGCCAGGGCAGTTTTACCAGAAGCCAGTTAACCTACCAGTATTTTTTTTTAACTGTGGGAAGAAACTGGAGAACCTGGAGGAAACCCACGCGAACATGGGGAGAACACACAAGCTCCACACACAGGCACCCCAGAGCTCCAGGGTTGAAAGCAGTTCGTTTGTGATGTAGGATCAAGTGAAGCTGAAACCCGAAAATTCAGCCAGATCACATATATACAATAACAGCGGTGCAGTTCTTGATCAGTAGCCAGGTTTCTAGTGTTTATTATATTTACAGTTCTGTACTATTGATCCCTGCAGTACACCAAAAAGCACCACTTGGGGATAATGATTATGTTGGATCTTGTTCCTGAGGAGTATGTTTTTTACTCTCCATTTGTAGGTGGCGCTGGAGGTAAAGGAGTTTGGGGCCCTCCTGGCGAGGTGTATGACCTTGAAGAAATCGATGTCCGAGACCCAAATTATGATGAAGATCAGGTAATGATGGCTGAATTTCTTGCACTCCTGTCCAGGGTGTGAATTCTTACCTGCCCAACTTAAACTTTGCCATTAAATTTGGAGAACAATTAAAATTTTAGTCAATTATGCATAAATTATTTTAATTTATCTACATATAATAGCATCTTATAAGTTCGTAAACCTCTTTACTTCAAATGTGAACTCATCAATCTTTTGGAGTTTTTGGAGTAAAGTATTGAACAGTTTAACATGGACCAGTAGAAAGTGCAGAAGAGAATGGAGAGGCACAGTCGTTTTATGTGCATTAGTGTATGTAACGAAAAAGAAGCATTATACCTATATTAGCCCACTGCTCCTAAATAGCTCTGCATATCAAAATTTCTTTCCTCTTGAATGTGTTCACTGTGACGTATTTAAATACAGATCATTTCTAGGATCTACAGATTACTCTTTTTGGTACATGAGTACTCCTTATTTTTGTGGAGCTTATCTAGACTTGGTTTTGCTTCTCTTGGTGTTTATAAAATTTCTTTAACATTCTGTCATAATACTCTTAACATGCTTGCAGTTACTGAGTGATACTGTGGAAACAATAGCTGTGTTTTGTTTAAAGTTTTTAAATACCATCAGATACATAACAAATGTTTTGAGTAACACACTACTTTAAAAAATCCAGTAAGGTACTGTATGAATTGTGTTGCAAGATGTGGATAATTGTGGAAAAGCAGTACTGAACCTTTATTAATAGTGATATGGAAAAACCAGAGTATCAATCAAGTATCAATTTAAAAAACTGAAATAATGTTAACATAAAAAATATTATGTGATGCTTAGCTATGTCTTTTATTTTCCTACTAGCTCTGTCTGTACTTTGTTTGGCATAATGACAGTGAACAAAATTTAAGTTAACGCCACTACTTGGCTTTCATGGTCCTGTGATATTGTAGGTTATCACAAAACAAGGCCCCTACTGTTAGCATAAAATGTCTTGGGTCACTGCTCTGCAAGATATAAAGCACTGATATTCTTTGTTGTTTTAAGTATTGTACTGTGTATAAGCAACCCTTTGTGTCCTAGCTTACAGTATGTATCACAAGATCAGATGAGTTTGTTCAAGTTTGAATCAGTCCCATTAAACAAATACTGCCAAAGCTACTACAGTTCAGGAGGAAAGTACTAATGGTGTGTGTGGGATGGGGGAGAGTGTTGCAAAATTGTAGACCGCATAAATAAAGCTAGACCTAATTAAAATCCAAATTTATGAAAGTAATATTGTGTGAATAATTCCCCTAATTCCTGCAGCATTGTGAATGAAGGTAGAGCCTTGTTAATGGAACATGTAGCCTTACAGTACATTACCCTTGATTGTGCAACAGCAACAAGTACTTTCTCCATGGTTGATTGTGTATTTTCTATGACACCCTGGAAAATCTGGTTAATATACTATTTTTGCTTTTCTTGGACTGGATAATGTGGAAGCTAAGCACAGGGAAATAAATCGGGGTTAGACTGCACTGTGGTAAAACTGAATTGCACAAATCCTCACTTACTGTCATACTTGGAGCATTTGTGAACAGCCAAATATAGCTTTTAATGAAATGTTCCAAATAGTCAAGTTTGTACAACAGTTTTGGTTTTGGTTTGTATGTGCTGTATAAGTAAGTTATCATTCCTTACACAGTTGTGTAAAAATTGTTTTGATCAACTTTGTGGTGGCTTTAAGTGGTAAAACTGCCAGTTCTTTTCTTCTTGTATTACTTGGGTATAGAGATTTTATGCTGTTATCAGATTAAACTTTGACCTTTGTCCTTATTACCACAGGATACTGATTTAGGGATCACTTTCAGAAGTAAAGCTCCTTCAGTTCAGTGTAATTGAGACGTTGCAGTATAAAGAGGTTAAAATATCCAGACAAATTTTCATTGATGTAACTGGTTTCACAGGAGAACTGTGTCTACGAAACTGTGGTCCTTCCACTGGATGAGGGGGCCTTTGAGAAGACTGTGACACCGATTGTGCAGGAGTACTTTGAGCATGGGGATACTAATGAAGTTGTAGTAAGTTATTGCTCTGCATCTTATTGTGAAAACTTTCACTTGACTGCAGTCTTGCCTTGCTTGAGCTTTGAGATAATGCAACCATTTGCAGAACTGAGCCTGTATTCAGTTAGTTTTTTTATAAGCCTTTAAAGTGCAGAGGTTATCCATTACATGCTGCAGTCCCTATACATGCAAATTAAGGAAGGTTTACAACCATTAATCTTCAGTGACGAATGTCTTAGGAACATGTCTAAACTATTTTTTTAGAATTCAGCATAATGGCCTTATGTGGCTCTATTTTAAAGCCTTTAAATGTTTTTGTAAACATAATAATAAGAATGCAGGTTTAGGAGAAAAGTATGTGTTTTTGCTATGGAGTATTGCCAGGAGAACCGTATATATATTTTTTTAAATTAAGGATAAAAATGGGCTTCGGACGGATTTTTACTTCCCTCTGTGGGCTCTTAACCAAGGTTCAGTTTAAACAGATTCTTTGAAACTGTGATTAAGTGCCTTAGTAATTTTTCTCTTTTTAAATGAATGTTTCTCATCTAAGCAAGAGTCTTTGAAGTATAAATAGGGAAAGTCTGTAATTATGATGGGAACACCAACGACGACGATAATGGTGCTGCAAACAGCTGAGTGGATTTAAAAGCAGTGAACCAAAAACTGGTATCTAGCAGAAGATCCTGTGATTTCTAAATGCAGAAGTGTGTGCAAAATTCAAATCTTTCAAGAGCTTATTTTTGTGCACTCTAAATTGGAGCTTTTACTTTCAATCTGCATTTTATACGCGTCCTGACCATGTTACAGAAAACAAAATTATTGGAGTAGTACAAAAGATATGCTCATGATGAGGAATACCACCACCTGATAATTCTGTCATAGTCTACAATGGGGACTTCCTTGCAGAGCAAAAGACACAATCATGTGAAAGGAAGTCCCTACACAGGTGCAAGTGCTTATGTGCAAAGGTTTTTAAAAACCTATTAGAGAGAATTCTTTCCAAGAAGAAATGGTGTTTTAGCTACTGCTGCACACAGTCTGATGTTCCTGTCCTTGCTGCAGGAGCTGCTGAGTGAGTTGAATTTGGGAGAGATGAAGAGTGGTGTGCCATTGCTGGCAGTGTCCCTGGCCTTAGAGGCCAAAGCCAGCCACAGAGAGCTGACCTCCCAGCTGCTGACTGACCTGTGTGGGAAGGTGCTCAGCCCTGATGATGTGGAGAAATCATTTGACAGGTTGCTGAGGGAGCTGCCGGACCTAGTCTTGGACACGCCTGGGGCTCCACAGGTATGGGACACCCCACTAACAAACAGTTTCTTTTCTGCTGTTTGTATTGATTGCCCTTGGGGGGATGCAGGGGGGTTCCACATCTTTTTCTTCCACTGTGCGTTTTGCTATGGGTTTCCTGTGATTAAGGTTAGAGAAGCTGAAGTGACATTTTTATGATGTGAGGAATTAACTTCTAATATGGTAAAAAAAAGTGATCTGGAACATCAAAAAAGCAGGAGTTTTCTTTTGTGTAAGAAGACGGTGAATCTTTTTTTTAACTAGACATTTTTTTTGGGGGGGTTAGGCATTTTTGAGACGGCAGAAGACAAAAGTCTGCCTTGTGCACTGATGTCCACATACTTGTAATCTCCAGTTGTTTCTGTCAATGTAGCGGTTTGTCATTTGATTTGTCTGTGACAGCCCTCAGTTATAAAACTGAACAATATATAGGATTGGTAGTTTTCAATGTTTGTTTGAAAGTAACACCTGTTTACATGAGAAATACTGCCTTTTAAGGAAATCGGAGGTATACAACCTTTCTTTTCAATAAGCCACTGACATTTGTCAGTTTGTCAGTCCATTTACAATTCCATGGATCTTATATGCTGAAGTAGTCAACATATCTCTTATACAGGACAAGAACACATTGGGGACTAAATGTGTTAAGAGGATTGAAATGGTAGATGAACAAGTGATCAGTGTCGCCCATCAGCTGTATTCAAATTAACAATAAGTAAAATTATCAGCAGTTCAGCGCAGCACTGTGGCACAGTGGATAGCATTACTGCCTCGCAGAGCTGGGATCCTGGGTTCAGTCCCTGGAGTGCCATCTCTGTGGACTTGTGCGTTCTCCCCATGTTTGCGTGGGTTTTTTCTGGGTGCTCCAGTTTCCTCCCACAGTCCTAAGGTGTACTTGTAGGTTAGTCTGTATGTGTCTGTGTCTGCTCTGTGATAGACTGGTGTCCTGACCAGGTAGTATCCTGCCTTGATCCTGTTGCTTGCCAGGATAAGCTTCTGCTCCAGCTCTTCTGTGACCCTGTATTGGGTCAGAAAATAGATTGATAAATGGAATTGGTGGTTTGGTCTGGAAATGGACTTAAGAGGAACCAAGCTTTTTTCACGATTATCAATTAGTTTTTTCTCAAACTGAATTGGCTCAAAATTAAAGTGTTGTGATGAAAAAGAAACGCAGGAAACTTCAAGCCCAAACAATATACATAAATTCCAGCCTCTTCAGAAGGCTTTGTTGAGTGAATGTAAATGCACAATTTACCTTTTAAGTGGACTTACCCCCAGGGCTTTTTCTAGAAGTGGACAGTAGTTCATTCCATGCCCCCTTCTTGCTGCTTGAAAACCTGGCTTTTTGTTGGTTAGTCAGCACTGCAAATACACCTGCCTCGGATTCCACTGTGGAACTGTTTTTCCTGGACTTTATTACACAATTGGTCTCCAGCTGACTGTTCGGCAAAAAGAGCCCGTCACAAGCTTTTCACGTTGTCTCCCAATTTTCCCAGGTTTTGGCTCAACTATTATATTTTCAAGAATTATAATTTTAAAGTTCTTGAATTACAATTTTACTGTTTAAAAATAACAGTGATTTTAATTACGGAGCAGATTTCTGGAAGCTGAAGAATGGAGAATAAAGGAATGGAATACAGCCTTAATAAAGCCTGCGTAATAACTGGTGTAGGAAGAGTATTTGCAATAGTAAAATTTTAGATTGTATCTCCCCTCCTCCGGTCTTGGCAGACCACATCAGCTGAGGGCGAATTCTGAACAGGATGCTCTGTGGTATGCGCTTACACTGCGCACATTTGATGTTGCTATGCTACAGCTTGGTGAGAGATGAATTTCAGCTTTTTCCTTTCACCCGCGGAGACATGAGATCTCTTGCTATTGTTTCTGCATGAGCCAACTGCTAGCTCAGCTTAGGAAGTGTTTAAAGGTCCCCCTCCCTACCCTCTGTCTCTCATTCGAAAAAACACTGCAAGCTTAGTTCTGCTTAGGTTAAGAGGAGTTCACTACTTTTACAGGCTCTGCACAGAAACAATGGCTGTTGACTACATGTATTGTTCCTGGCAAAATGACTAGACCAGTCTATTCTCATCTCTGAGTCGGGGGTATGAGCATTGCACAATGTAAACAAACTTGTGGGCAGTGCTTTTAGTGCCACAAAAGCTAAAAACAACTCATTTTGTATATATACTTCATATGCATTGCTAGTAGCATTCCAGAGTGATGCATTGTCATCAAATTAAAAATGACCCTGGCTCAAAATCTTTTAACAAGTTGCTGCATTTACACTGCACATGCTTACTGTTCAGTCAGCCCTTTTCAGTGTTAGGATTACGTTTGTTATAGTGATCACACAATCTGTGAATTTTTCATTTCAGCTCGCATGAAAATAGCCCTGATCTGTACGATTCAACATTCAATATGTTGTGGATGTTTGAATTTTATTAAGAAGGTATAATAGTCAAACAATGAAGCAAACTGTTAAGCAATGCTGAAGTCTGAAAAGCATTTTGTGCTCATCATCTCCAAACAAAATACAAACCCTCCAAATCTGTCCATGTGGTCCTTAAGTACAAAACGATGAGCACAGTCTTGAGCTGTGGGCAGAGAGCTGCATTGGAACCTGACGACACCCAGGAGTACAAACAGCCCTGCTGGAACTGACTTGACCACCTGCTCTTGCCAATTTGAGCACAGAAAATACTGAGGTTAACAGTGGAGAAGCTTAAGAATTGAGGAAAGAGAAATTATTTCCATCTCTGGCAGAAGGTCCCATGGGATGCTTAGCAGTTTTAGTCAACAGTGTGGACATCAAACATTCCTTTTCATCATATAGAGCATTGTGCTTGAGAATAACATAAGCCACATGACAAATGAAGGTGACCCTCTATTGATTAATAATACCAAAATTTCACCTGTCTGTACAGGGCCCTGGGTAAGAGGCAGCTGATAGATATTGTTGTACATTACAGTGTAATCTTTTGTTAAATCTTCAGTTTTTGTTGCATTTGTACAATGGTTGTGGTGTAAATTTTGCCTTGACAAATAGATAGATAATACTTTATTAATCCCTTAGTGAAATAAAAGTCTATCCATCATTTTCTAAGTTCTAATGCCCTGATGTACAACAAAAGAAAGATACTGCTGCTAAATGTACAGGTTAAAGATGTTTTAATTCCTGATGTATCATCTGCTTTGGTGACCTCATCTTTATAATTGCAATTGCTTTTGTATGTTTTCTGTAGCTTGTTGGCCAGTTCATTGCACGAGCTGTTGGGGATCAAATCCTGTCCAGAAATTACATTGAGAGCTACAAAGGCAAAGTGGACTGTGAACATGCCAGGTACTAAGAGCATCTTCTGAAATAATCTTTTCAAGATTTTACTCTTGTTCTCCCAGGAAACAGCTCTTTAGCTTTAGTACCTGATGAGAAAAGGCAGAAATCATTGTTGTACATAGGCATTAAAGAAATTCAGTCTGCTGTTTTTCTTCTTTTTCCAAAGTTTATTGACAGGATAAAACCCTTTGCATTATCTCGTTTGCAAGAGGGTCCTGTTAGAATACTTATATAAAAATAGACAAAATACAACATATACCACACAAAAAAAAGTAAACATACAAACTATATACCTGCCATGAAAGGAGAATAGAATAAATAAAATCTGAAAAGTAATGAGAGTATAATTATTTCATTTACAAGAACATATGGTTTTTAAATGTAAAATCAGTTTTTAACATACTGTGATCTTAGTTCAGAAGATTGGTTGTTCCAATCCATCAGAGGCTTATAGTCCAAAGCCTTACTTTCAAACTAATGGTATACATTGGGAACTTTAAAATATCTCCTCAGATTGTCTTAAAGTATAACCTGTGTTTTGTACTGAGAGAAGTTTAAAATAAGTAGGACCATTTATTTGAATACATTTAAAAAGACATCGATATCATTGCAACTGGCTGTTACCTTTTAGAAAGCAACAACCACTGAAGTTTTTTATACATTAGGCAATGCTGAGTTCTATAAGGACATCCAAGAATAAATCAGCACTGCGCTCGATCACATCCAGCTGAGTCTTGGATGGTCATCATAGGATAAGACCGCAATAACTGGGTTACAAGTATCTTTATAATCTTCATTGTAAAATGCTCTTTAGTGTAGAGTATCCCAAGCTTATAAAAGCTGTTTTCAAAATGCATATCCTATTTTACATGTTTCACAGGTGTAGGTGTAGAGATTATGTATCCTAATGTACAGGAATGTAGATGGGTGATGCTGGCCTTAAAACTGGAATACCATTGTTTAAGTGTTGGTTGGTGTTGTCATAGCCTCTTTTCTCAGAACAAATCTGAAAGAACAAATCTTGCAACATAATTCACCTCACCTGTGTGGATGTGTTGGCTCGGTTTCTTTAGAAACAGTTTGTATACATTGATATGGGGAGTTGGCAAGATCCCCCATTATAGATGTGGTGTGTTAAAGGTTTAAGATGCTTGTATTTACAGAGCAGCCCTGGACCGAGCAGCAGTGCTGTTAAAAATGAGCAAGGGAGGTCTACGCATAGAGAACGTGTGGGGAACAGGAGGAGGCCAGAGGCCTGTCAAACAGCTCATAAAAGAGGTGAGAAACCTGAATGGTAAATTCTTAATGATATTTATGCAGATAAGGACCGTGTGGCTTTTTCTGACAATTTTTTGAGGGACATTCCATTTTCTAAAAAGAATGCAGATTTGGTGGAATATTGTTGGAACCTTTGAAGCACAGCATGCATTCTTCCCTGTAACAAATTAGTTCATGCTAACTGATTTGAATATTATAGAGGTTGCAGAATGTACTAGCACTGAGATTAGAGATGTATTGTCATGGTAAATCAAGTCAATTTATGATAAAAATTAATGCTCAAGTTTGCATTTGCAAAGTGAAGTTTATAATAGTTTAATTTATAAACGCTGTTCAAGGTGGAAAATTAGAGCAATACTCACACATTAAAAACCTAGGTTTTTAGTGAGATTTTAAAAGGTTGTCAGTCACAGAATTTCTAATGGTTTGGCCAGTGAGTTTCACAGTAGAGGTGTTGAATGCATAGAGCCTTTTTGAATCAGTAGATCTCGATTTAACAGCTGGACTGTACTCATGTAGTGAATTAGTTAACTTGAAGATAAACCATTCGGTGCCTCAGGTAAGTAGAAGAATCTTTAATTGTACTGAATTTGATGGTGCCAATGTAGTTTACAAAGAGGGGATTTATGCAATGATGCAAGATACTTTTATCCTTTATGGTAGCACACAAGCTGCAGTATGGATATATACACATGTGAATGTATATACTGTATATAGAGGTGTTTGTGTGGGTTGGAGGCACGTACTATAAATTTGCTGGTTTGAACCACTACTACAGTACATTGACAGAAATAACTGAAAGCTGGCTTGCTATTAGGTTTGCAATCTAATGTCACTAGCGCATTTTTGTCCATAAATCCACTATTGCTAACTGCTGGGAAGCACTTTTTGATCTCCAGATGCAGACAGCAGTGTTTAATCTAGAAGGGATTCACTTAGACATAACAGCTAGATACACTTAGGCAATTGATCTTCATGGAAGAGCTGTAAAGGTGATTACAAGACTGTTAGGTGCTGGCTATATCTGATAACAGGTTCTGGCTCTCATTCCGTGGTGGTGGAGCATGGAGAAACCGTAATCGGATCATCAACTTGCAGTTGTCACTGTGGGGGAGGCTATCACCTTATTACACTGATTTACTAGTGTTCAGTTATTTGGTTCTGTGGGTTAATATAGAGGCTCCCCTACATTACAGTGTTACTCCTCTTCTTCCAGGTTAACTTGCTTCTGAAGGAGTACCTGTTGTCAGGAGAAGTAATGGAAGCAGAACGGTGTCTCAGGGAACTAGAAGTGCCTCATTTTTACCATGAATTTGTCTATGAAGTAAGGCCACATTTGTTTTTTGAAACCCACTAATTATAACTATTTGTCCTTCTCTGTACCATACAGTATTGTGAAAAGTGGTTACCCTATTGAGATTGCATCACCTACATCCCTAAACCTTTAAGTCTCTCCCTCTGAATCCAAAAGATTGCAAAGAAAATGATTGCGCTTGTGCTTTTTTCAATAATTGCCTGCATATTTATCTTGAAAAAAAAGAGAATTTGTAAGTAACCCTCCCTTGTCAGAAATTAGCTTTTTAGTGGCTTATTTCAAGTACTAACTTAAGTTTAAATTAAAAAAGGGGTTATTTTTAGATCACATCACCACTGGCTGGCAAACTCTAAAAAAACTGGCATAATTATTATTTCTTGCCTTTTTCACTTGAATTAAATTATAAATTCATCATTATTGCACAATATATTGACTTCTTGTCTTCTTGTAGGCTATAGTCATGGTCTTGGAATCGAAAGGAGAGACGACCCTCAAAATGATTTTACAGCTACTCAAGTTTCTGTGGGAATCCTCTGTCATCACTGTAGACCAGATGAGTAGGGTGAGGACGCCATCTAGTGTTATAAAGCAATATTACATCTGACTTTTTTCCCCATCTAATATCCAAAAGTATTTATGATTTTGAAAATCTGAAGCACCTTTTGTTTTTGTTTTTAATTGATGGTTAAAGCTTTTCTTACCAGAGCTGGTAAGAAACTTTTTTCAGGTGGGGATTTGAAACAAAAGAAAAACCGATATTCTAAGAAATAGGAACTAGGGAATATTTTGATCTTTACAACTATAGTATTACAAATTTATTCATTACAGTTCATTTTTAAAATAATTTTAGTGAAATTCACTGATGGTTAATGTCCCTTAAAAAATCTTTTCCAGGGATTTCAACGGATTTATGCAGAAATCCCAGAAATTAACATTGATGTTCCATGTGCTTATTTGGTGCTGGAGCAATTTGTGGAGCAGAGTTTCAGTGCTGGCATTATTGGCAAAAGGCTGAGAGACCTTTGTCCTTGCAGGTGAGTGGTGGTCTGCTGTCAAACATGATATACAAATGGAGCAGTTTCTGTAAGAGACTATGTTTGTGCATGGTGCGGTTTTTCAATATAAATAGCAGTAGATTTGAGAAGAAGGTACATTCCCAGTTTTGGTCACTTAAAACAAGTGTCACTTTAAACTTGCACCTGTTTTTAAACAAACTGATGTGTAGGACTGATCAACAGTTACCGTAAACGTTTGGTTGAAGTCATTGCTGCTCATGGGGTTCACACCAGTTACTGAAAGCATGGGTTCATATACTTTTTCCGACAAAGACATTTAATTTTGGAACATTCTGATAACTAAATGAATGATAACGTATATCCCTTTGTGTGTTATTTGTTTTATTGGGTTCTTTTTTATCTATTTTTATGACTTAGATGAAGATCTGATCACATTTTATGTCAAATTTATGCAAAAATTCAGAAAATTCTCAAGGGTTCACAAACTTTCTAGCACAAGTTTAAGTTGTGATTTGGCTGACAGCAAATGATTCATGTGTGACTGCAAACGAAAACGTTTATTCCAATATGCATGATGTTTGGACTTTTGTTTTTTTCTTACCTGCAATTTGTTTTACTGAATTCCATCATCAAGCAGATTAATAGTTTTCACACAAGCTAGTCTATTTACAGGATCCTGATTTAGATTTAACTGAACATGCCTTCCAACAAGAAGGCATATTTTTTTCAGCTTCCTTTGAGTCAACATCTATATTTTTTTTTATATTTTAAATTTCTGTAACTGATTCTTTGAACAGTTTAAAATTTAATGTGTAGTTCTAATTGTATGTTAATTGTTATTCTTTAGGCCAACCACTCTTACTTTGAGTATGTTGTATTAATAGCAACAGAAATAGTTTGGAAAGGCTTGTTTAGCACAGGGGTGTTTTCTTATTTTTTTTGCATTATGATGGCTATTTCTTTTGGGAATATTATTTTGGGGAATACTGGCATATTAGCAAATACTAACACTAGGGATGCTAGCAAAATTACTGTTCTCTTTGTGCTTTGATGCAGTATACTAAAATGAAGCCTGTTCATCCCTATCTCTCTGATTCTACATTAAAATGCTTGTTTTAGTGTTTTTTCCCTATTTGGAGGTTTCTGGAGTTGCAGGGAGAAGTGTTTTTTTCTCATTAAAAACTTTTAAGGTCTTTCCATGTAATAACTGCACTTATTTACTAATTGTTTTTTAAAGGGGACGGAAAAGATTTGTAAGCGAAGGAGATGGAGGACGCCTTAAACTTGAAAGCTGCTGAAGGGAAACCATGGAAAGCTCTTTGTACCAGTTGTACTCGGAATCAAGGAGATGTTTTTACACTTCATATTCTTCTTGTAACGGTTTAGGTACAACTACTTTCCTGTATAGAATGTTTTTTTTTTTTTGGAGGGGAGATAAAAAAGGCACTTATGTTGGATAAAATGCAGGACTTGGAAAGGACATCCTTTGGGATATTCTGAATTTAGCTCACTCTGAAAGTGCCAGATCTTCAATTACCTAGTCATTCCATGTTTTGCAATTTCACTGCCACTCCTTTTTCCTGACAGCAGTGTTTGTCTGAAGCTTTATACTGGGGATACGGTACAAGTGCCCCCTCTGTTGGCTGCTATTGTTCATATACTGTGCTTATTTTTTTTTCTCTTCAAAGATTTAAGAGAAGTTAAATTTGAAATGGAACAAAGAAATTCTAAAGCATTTAAGGAACATTTCACAAAATGGTGTCTGGAACATCTATTTTTGTATTTTGGAACACTGGAAAGTGGAATGTACCTAGGGTCTCGCTCAGTGTTAATGTCGAAAATAAAAATCAGAAATACTGAAAAGCATAATTTCCTGGTAGTGTTTTCTTTTATTTCAGTTTTTACATGAATACTTAACATTTATGGGGTTTAAGGTTAACATCAATTTCAAATAAAAAAAAATTAATTATACAATCATTGGTCCTGGTAAGAGTTGAGGCAGGACTTCACCCTGGGCCTACACTTGCCCATCGTAAGGCACACAGGGAAAATTAGCAACACCAGACAGGTGTTGAGACAACTAGACTCCATTATCTAAATTCAGTGCTATTGTCAGCATTGAGCAAATCATCAAATCCTTCTCAATGTTGGGGGGAAGAAGGTTAAAGTCTGCTGTAACGAAACTAATATATCTTTTCAATTCCCTAGATCTCTAATGCAATTAACAACTCATCTGGATCTTTCTTCTTTCAAGATCTTAACTTTACAAATATTGCTTATTTAAATAGTCAGATGACCTCTTAGTCTTATCCCAATTGAACATATTTGTTTGAACACTGCCTACTTTCTCTGCTGTATGATCTCTTAGATGCTACGACACACAATGTGTTGCTATGACAATTACTGGAGGGCTTGCATTTCTGCCAAATTTCCGATCAGATCTATTGGCTCCAAAAAAGTGATACCACAATCACCAGTAAGTTCCAGTACTTTGTCTCTAATAGCAAATTTGCTGTTCAATACTTTTCCCACATCTTACCTGATGAATCTGTATACAAACTTTTCTTTGTAGCTTAATAAGAGAGCAAATGTTAACCAGACTAATCCATTAGAATTGTGGAGGCTACGGGATGTCATAAATTTGAATGTTTTGATATCTAAAATATTTAGAATTAATTAGGTCAGAAGGAGGGGTAGATAGGATGAGACGTAAGGTACTGTCTACATAGAAGTCCAAGATTGATTAATTTGGGTTTGTGGATGGTGCTTTAATGTTAGGTTTCTATGCTAGGTATTTGGAAGAGGACCTTCCACATATTCCATGTCATCAAGGAGGAAGAAAAAACTACAGACCACCAATACTTTCAATTCTTGTAGAATATTCTGTAAGTGTTTTGCAATGCTTGTTATTTTATTTTCCACTAAAGGTCTGATTATAACTTTGTAGATAAAATACACTTAAGAAAAATACAACTGTAGTGGAAAGCTTTGATAAGAAAATGCTTTATTACATAAATTACATTTAAGTTAAATTTGTGACACTAATCCAGCACTAATGTTGACAAATAAGAGTAATGAGCATCCATCTCCACACAGGTATGTGATAAACACATCAGGGCAACCAATAAGCAATGTAAAAACCTTTCAATGACATGTTGCGAACTTGAATGTGAATGGTTTAATTTATAACAAGCAAAATTATTGGTGCCTTAGTTGGACTTGTCATTTTGCTAGTTGAGCGACATTTAAAGGAGCTTTACGTACTGTTGTAATGTGTTCAAGACATTAGGGATACAAGAAACAAAAAATGGAGACGAGGGAAGTCATGGAACAGATTCTGTCCTTTGCACACTTCTCAAATAGTGCCAGTCTAGTTTTAAACCAAAAACTGCTAGCTGTGCGCAGATTTTCATTATTCCAGAAGGAATGGAGATGTCAATGGCTAGGGAAAAGGAGAGCCCAGTCAAGTCAAAACAACCAGTGTTCACCCTTTCCCTCTATTTTTATGGTTCTGAAATAATGGCTTTGATTGTCGGTTAATCAGTTGAATTTTAGAATAGTTACTGTGATATGTAAAGATATTAGGTTGTTTGCAGTGTGCTATGAGGGGAGCTGCTACAATGTGTAGGGTGGCACTGCCACATATCCATCTGCCTACTGAGAGCCTGGCTGCTCCTGATGCATCTGCTCCCGCAGTGCCATTTCCTGCTGCCGCACGAGTTCCTGGGTTTCTTGTTGCATCTTTTCCAGTTTTTCCAGGGTGACTGATTTTAGAGGCAGTAGCTTTGGTTTACACAGCACCATAGTGGGCACATCCTCCATAGACAGCTGCCCTGAGTATAAAGAGAGATTTTACAATCACTTTTGCTGCTATCAAATGTAGAGGAGTTCTTCTAGCCTTACATTTGCTTTCAGATTTATTGAAGAGTGGGGCACAAAATATTTCTATCTAAAATCTCAGAATAATCTCAACAGTAAATGTTTCATGAAAGACCTGCCTGATTTTGTTCTCAACTATCTGGAGGTATTTCATCATTGCATTTCATCAGTGCATTTGTAGTAACACGTTCACTGCACATAAATTGTTGTGAACCTCAAGCAGATAATTTTCATTGCCGTATTGATGTGTACAGAGTGGCAGATAAGACACAAAGAGGTCAACGGACTTGCCCAGTGTCAGCTGGGATTCAGTCTTGGATCTCTTGGCCACCAGATGTGATATGTGCACAGACTATTAAAAAGCAGAGCATGTTCTTCTGATCTCTGTTTTGCATTTTCAGATAGCTTAAAAATCTGAGCACTCCACAACAGGTCGGGGGCTAATGCATGGAGAATGCTTTGCATTATTTAACCTAATAAATCATTCTATCTGAAGCAGCTGAATATCAGGTGTTTGAAATAGCAATGATTAGTCCAAGCATTATAAAGGGGTTTGCTAGCTTTGTGCAAATTATTTAAATAAAGTGCTAATATGTGATCTGAATAAATGAACAATAAAATAAATGTTAAACTATCAGCTACTTGACTGTATTTAACTATTTTGTGTGTTACACTATAACAGTATATGTCTCAAACTGCCCGTGTGTGCTGTTGTGTGTGCTTGCAATAGATTGATATCCCATCCAGGGTGTAGTCCTTCCTTCTACACTATGCTTCTGGAATAGGCTCTTGAGTTCCCACGTTTAACAAGAAGAAATGGTCCTGATGTGCTTCTTAAGCTATGAAACAAACTCTTGGTCAGTAATAGTGGGAAAAAAAGGCATGTTACAGGTCAGTAAATGCAATTTCCATTGCTGTGCGAGAAAAGATCATTATGAAAATGCATTTCTATTGAAATGAAAGTAAAGAACTTCTTGTCACTTAAAATGAGCAACATTTAAAAAATGTAAAATGCCATGTTTGAATAGCACATATGGACATTTTTCTTTCTTGAAGAAAAATTCAATGCAGCAAAATAAGCTGTTCCAACACTTGTAAGTCAGGTCACTGTGAGATTTCAGTGTTGCTTGTGGTAAACAACTGAAAGGAATGTGAAAGGAGAAATGCAAGCACTTTGCAAGTCTGGGCACTTGAGTCTGCCCGAGGATAACCTACAATGCTTATAAGCAATTATTACTCTGTGCTGAGGTTAAGATTAAGTATGTGCCAAAGCAATTTTTTGACTGCATGGGTGTGTGCAGAAGACCATAAATTTCAATTAAACACACCAGCAATCAAGTATATGTGTTGATGTTTGCCGAGAGATATTTGTTGATCAGTTTCTTGTAAAGCCAATGGTTTAATAGGGTAGTCCTGCAGACAGAGATAAACTAAACCTACTTTACCCAAAGGTTAATAAAAAAAAATAAAAATAGAAAAGTAGATGATGACTATTGAATACCCTGCATATAATATGTTCTGTGTATGTATATATATTTAATGCATTTTTATGTAAGGGAGAAGCTTCAAATTTCTTATTTCAAATGATTTGGAGGACACAATGTTCATTTATACAGCATTACAATTCAGTAACATCCTGCATTACAGCACAGCCCTTCAACATGTATTCCTCTCTGGCTTCAGTCCAGCAACACATCACCTGCCACAGTGCAAGTCGAGGCACTGTTACGCCTCTTCAGATCGTTACCAGTTCTGAATTCCAGGATTTTAAAAACAGCTCGTTATTCAGGTGAAATCATACACTCATTGACTCCCCTCTCTATTTATCGCAAAATGTAAACTGATCAGATATATTCTACTTCAAATCTTCGATACCATCTCAATTTCTATGGTTTGAACACAGTTTAAATTTACTTCCCACACAGTTTGGAAAGTTACTAACAGCCAAGGGCCTTTTTTCTCCTAATTAAAAACAAGGCACTGCGTGTTCCAGATTTTATCTGTATGTTTAAAGTAATTCAACTACTTTACAGAAATTATTAAAGATAAAATAAGGTTGGCTATTACCTATCCATTTACAATTGAACATTGGAAAGACCCTATTTTGTTCACTTATTAACTGTACATTAGACTTTATACATTAAAACGAACTTCTCTGAATTTAAAGATCTTAGAAGTGCTTGTTTCAACTTTTCTTTGGGACCTGGGCTGAGATCTGAGTATGAACTGTAAATAAAGAACAAACACTAAATGAGAACAGTTTAGTTTACTTTCTTAATGTAATGGGAAATAAGTCAATCCTCAAAATAAATTGGTAAAAATCATGGTTAACAGGTTTGGCAGGTGTTGGGACTCAAAACTGGAAAGTAAAATCAGTCTGGAAGTTCTATATATTCTTCTATAGTTTTGCATGTTAAAAAGACGTTTAAGATAGGCACCAGTGTACTGATGACTGAAATCCACATCAAGGTATGTAAATGAGAATTGTATTCCTGTGCTGATTATAATGGAAACTTAAAACTGTTCATATAAACCTATCAATATAGTATTAAATATCTTAACTGACTTGTCCAGATGTTCAAGTTCTTTAACACAATTCGATAGCTTTTCACAAATTTTCATTCTTCATGTAAATTTGAAAGGACTGGTGAAGTAAGCACATGCCTTACAGTGTGGAGGTTTAAGTGACTTGCGCTAAGAACGGCATCCCATCTAACCATAGTGCCGTTTAGAAAAATACACATGATGAACAAAGAAAATAGGACAAGAGAGCCAAACTAGTTTTTTTGCTTTCCCAAATGTTTGCTCAATTACTGGATCATAGTGTGCAATGTGGATTGTTCCATCCAGGAAGGACAAGTGACTGCAGACTCAGATTGTCAACTGAATTGACAAGTGTATTTATACTTCCAAATTCTTTAAAACTGCCTTTTTTAGAATGCATATTTTAAGAAAGTGACTGAATTGTATTAAATCGTTTGGTAACCGTGACAAGAGATATATTCAATAATAAACAGTATTAACAGTTTTAGATGAACCTTTAAAAAATGAATAGTTAATATCTCAAATTAAAATTCATTCATAAAACCAGAAGAAAATACCTTGTTTGGGAAGAACTTCTCTGAACATTGACTTCACTTCAGGCATCTTCTGAAGGCTGTTTAAATCAAATATATATAATTGTTTGTTAATGAAGTAAATGCTAAAACATCTATGGCTTCCATAATTTACAAGCCCTGCTATCGTTATTATTATCTGAAAAAATACGCAAAGGGAAAGTGATGGCAGCTGTAAATAATTGTACTTCTTGGGTACACAATGCTGGAGTATATATTCATTGCTGTACTGTATTCAGACATTAAAGTGTCAACCGCCACTTTATTGTATATTGGTGGTTTACTATAGGACGTAAAAAGGGAGAACATACTGTAGATGTTGGACGCACACTTGATTTCTGTGTCTGTGAATGAGACCTTAAATCAAGCTCCTAACGACGTGGTCATTAAAGATCGCAATGGTGACCGTGGAGGTCCTTCTAACCCAGTGTCCTGGCTAAATTGACAGAGTACCCCACCAACCCACACAAACTACCGACTACCGATGTGCGACAAAGGAAGTATTCATGCCGATGCTACACCTGAGTCGGACATTTACTTACATCACTCCCACACAACGATTCAGGTATGCACGCAAGAAGTTACAAAATCATCTCGTGAAAAATAGCTAAGTGAAAATCAATAACCGTATTTTAATTTCAAGACAGCTTATCAGTTAAAACTCAATGGCATTGAAATCGATCTAACGCATCACATTAAATCAATTAATCCATTTAATCTGGCGATCACGTCATTACTACATTACGTTAATCGAAAATTTCGAATGTGTTGTTTTTGCGTACCATAAACAGACTACAGCCGTCCAACTAATTAATTTACTCCAAGATACAATGTACGAGAACGTGTACAAAAACATTAAAGACTATATAGCACGAAAAAATTAAATATAAAAGATCCAGTATCCTCAGAACCTTATTCGAAACAAACCTGAAGCAACAGCCGTAATCCTACACAGACGCCAGATCCGGTTACATAGAAACGACGTCAAGTCGTAGAAACGCAAAAGAACGCGATTGCGCAGCAGTGGGACATCGTTTTGCTGTCTGGTAAATGTAGTTCACTTGCAATAACCCCTTTAGCGGCCAATGCGTTGTATTTGCATATCAGTCGAAATGAATAACTGTTTAACTGCTTATTTTATTACTTAGAATATTTTAATAAACTTAAACTTTATTTATGATAGCATAACTGCAGGATACCTGTGTGACCTAAATCACTCAGTTGCCTGTACTTTAAAAAAGGGTGTGTATGTGTGGGGGGTGTCTTTGCGCAGCAAGGTGTAAATGACGCGTACTTTTTTTAAAAAAAACAATGTTGAAGTTAATTTTGTAACTAAATTACTGCTTCAGAAAATGTGTCACGCGATTTAATTGGCGGAGGGTGCTACGGTCTGCATTCCGTCCCATTTTCCAATTCCAAGTCGAAAGTTTTGAATTGTCTTAGTTTACAAATTGATTTGTTGTCTTAAGTTTTTAAGTGTATCCGACTACGACACCGGCGTTCGACGTTTTTTTACACACGGTAATGTACACAGTTCTTGGATTACGTTTCTATAAATACTCCGAACATCTATCTACTAGATGTTTCGATAGCATTTAAACATCAGAATACGAGAAATCCAGAGACACCGTCCACAATAGTAGGACCCCCCCATCAGATCGGACTTTGGTGAGCAGAAGGACCAGTTTGAAGAGGGCAGGGTGCATTCCACAAGTTTGTGCAACACCTGCAATACAATCCAGTTCTCTTCACGGGATAAGACGAGACGTGGGACTGAACCCCCGTGTTCCGCTGGTTCCTCCAGTTTTCAGCAAGATCCCTCCAGTTCTTGGGATTGCATGGGCCCGAGAACTGGGTGCTGTTTCATGCCTTTCAAACTATACCGACTATACCGTTGATTTGTCTGGTAAATATGTGGCCCAGTAAATATATTTCTTAGACAATGTTAGTCCAAAGAGTTCCCTCGTGCACTTTAAAGATACTAGAAAGCACTTCGTATTTGGGAAGACACGAAAAACAACACTTGCACCTGTTCGCAAGGCGCATTACCGCTCTTGCTAAACACAACAACAACAACAACAACAACAAACAGGCCGGATATACAGCAACGGTCGGGGAAAGAAGACCAGAAGAGCGTCTGATTGTCCGAAATCACTTTTTTTCCACTTTCACCTCCCGTTTTCTCTCTGTCATTCCACCCCCACCCCCCCAAAAAAACACCTTTCTCCGTGTCCAAGAAAGTCTCGTGATAGAGTGGTAATGCGTGCGTGTGACGCAGGCTGTGGAAGGAGGCAGGCGGAGGAGCCGGAGCGGCAGCAGTGTAGAGAAGGAGGAGGAGGAAGGAAGGATGGCGGAGTCACACCTCTGAAGGTAAAACCGAGATATTCTACGATATGTGCTGATACAGTCCTACATGTCTGCATGTATGTGTACGGCGGGGCTCTAAAGTGACGGTTTCCTTCTCCGTGGTGTAGGCTGCGGTATGTTCTCGGGGCGAGAGGGGTGGAAAAAGGCACTCTTTGTTTCGGCTTCGGAATGGCCGCGGTGGATAGATGTTTTTTTTTTTTTCGGTAGGGGAGCGGAAAAGGGCACCGCAGAGAAAAAGGCGAAAAGGATCGGAGAGGGGGTGGCCCAGGGTGTGAGAGCCACCGCGGCCCGTGTGTGCGCGCAGGGAGGCAGGGTGGCGGTGCTCTCGGGCGGGCTGCCGCGCCGCTGTCACCGGCAGGCGGCTGCGGACGGGCTGGGGCTGAGCTCCGGCGGCGGGGCTCCAGCGGTCGGGCTACGGCTGCCTGGCGGATGACAGCTGGGGTGGGCCTAGGAGCCGTGCGCTCCGTTCCGGGTCGGAAGAGGGGGAGTTGTGCGTGTTGGTGCGGACGGCTGCTGCTGTATTATGGATTTCTGAACGATCGGGCTCAATCAGCCCGTTTCCTTCGCCTTGGTGAGGTGTGTAATGGCAGGGCTGTCCGCTTGCCTGCCTTGTTGCTGGATTGCTTGGGTACGGCAGCTGTAAGAGGAAGGACCGTACTGTTGTTTACTTCGTAGCCGTATGGATTTCAGAGGTTGATGTTGGCTTTTTAGTAACGGTGTGGCAGTTTTTCTGCCAAGTTGCTGGAATGGGAGGGTATCTGGTGTGGGTAGGCAGGATACCATGCTTCGCTAAAACACCGGGCTCTTTATTTCAACCGACTAGCGAAGGGGGACGGAACACTGAAGCAAGGTTTTATGTGCTATTGGCATTGTCAGTGCATTTTCAAAACCACCACGATGAGCGGTATTATATCATGTACGTCTAGGTGCGTGTGTCGTAGAATGTGTTTGGTAAATGTCAGATGATATTTGGAGGCAGTGGGACTGGATATGCCAACTAACGTACCAGTGATTGGTTTTTATTCCTGCGGTTTTGAGCCAACTGTGTAGGTATCGATTTGTGTGACTAGCTGATATTTATATGAAGACCGATTCTTCCGATTGCAGTGTCATGTATATTAATACGAGGCTATACCATTGCCTGAGTGTCTGTCAGCGCAGAACGGGGAGACAGGCTCGTTTAGCTAAACCTTGAAACGCAAACGACTGGTTATGCTTGTAAGTTTATCCCCCCCCCTCCAGAAATCTGAATGGTTATTAGAACTAAGTTTTTTTATTTTAATTATTGATCTATCAGAGATTGAGGGATGCGTCATTGTGTAGTTTATGTATATTTGCGTGGCGTTCATGTTCGAGATTAACACATAGTTTGTGGGGATATGAATACCTGTCCAAAATTAAAAGTATTTAAGCTCGGAAGAAATATACTTACTACGAATGAAAACGAAAACTTTTTTTGGTCTGCATTGCACCTACCTTATAAGATGGTTCTTATAAGATAGGAGCAAAAGATCCGAGATAAAAGGCGGAAGGTAGTTATCTCCCCGGTCCAGAGTCTCCGATATATATATTTTTTTATTCTGAAAGATGCAGTCTACATCATTACGTGACATATAAACAGCGAAATTCATTCCTCATCCCACATAACTTTAATTAGAACTGTCTTTACGTTCAGAGCTTCTCTGCTCCTGGCCGGGAACAACTTTCAACTGTATAATGGCAAAATGGATAATGTAATCAATCACTTCTTCATCAGACACCACGGCGTTGTCTTTTAAAAGAAGAATGCCCGATGATGCATGTAGGTACACATTTTGTGATTCCTAGCTGCGTTTGTACCTTTAAACAAGGTACTTCATTCACTTCAGCTAAGTCACTATGTGTGAAAACATAAGCCTAATCTTTTACACTTCCAGAATAAGTGCATCTAATTCTCAGATAGTTGTGGGAATTCCATAACATTGGTGGAATTCTTTTGGATTAATCAGATTTCTGTTTTATGGAAATGTTTTAAGATCAACTTTTTAAAAAGATCCTTGATGTAGCTTTGGGCAGTCTTTCAGTTTTTTGTTTTTGCAGTACCATCAGCTTTCCTCTGTGGGAGTATTATTAAAGTTACTGCCACTACATTCCGATACACTATATCAACATCACTGTCAGTCTGTGGCAACAAAATTAAGAGTTGGGACACATATTCCCATTATCTCTTGTATTATTTAAAAAAGGATGTTATTTTAACTTTAGACTTGTGCTGATATGCATTTTTTCTGTTATTTTTGTACTATTCAGTTATTTACTTTCTATGTCACTTAATCATTTTTCTGTTGACTATTGACAGTTAGATTGACAAATTTCAATTGAAAACCTTTTCCTCTGTCGGGAAGTGAGCGTAAAGCTTACAAAGACCGGTGATGGGAGACCGAATGGAGATTAAGTGTGTGACGTTGGCTCTTTTTTTTGACCACGTCTGTCCATGCAGTAGAATTCACTGGGTCTGCACTGATGTCCTGGTTTTGGAAACGACCTGAGCTGGCAATTTAGTTGGAAGGAAAAAAAAACAATGGCAATCCAGACAGCACATCCTTTACCATGTTTCTTTTATAGTGGGGATTTTATTTTTACGTTGCTAGTGAAGTGTGATGGGGTGGTGGGGGGTTGAGCGTCTATGTGAAGTGTTGTTAGTTTGTACATTGCAGAGGACTGTCTGAAAGCTCATTTCAATTAGTTGGTTTCTTAAATTAACAGGCAAGCAACAAGCGCAAGGCAGAGTACACCCTGGGTAGAACACAACCAGTGACACACGCGTACCAGGGCCAAGTTTCCTAGAAGCCAGTTCACCTACCAGTATGTCTTTAGACTGTGGGAGGGAACGAGCACTCAGAGGAAATCCGCATGGGCAGGGGGAGAACATGCAAACTCCCTGCAGATAGTACCTCGCGTCTGGAATTGAACCCAGGAACCCAGTGCTGCAAGACAGCAATGCTCACCACTGTGCCGCCGGTATTTGATTAATATAATCCTAAAATGTATTTAAGGAACAAGTAAGAGGTTTATTCCATGCTGAAAAGAGAAGAAAGAATACACAACGGTTCGGCCGTGCAGCCTTCTTCAGGTGTCATGCTGACACAGCTACCCACCTAAAATGTATTTATGCAAGCAACAACAAAAGAAAGTATTTATGCAATATCCAAGTCATAGTCACATTAGAGTTGGCTAAAATAAGAGTGTCTTGTACCTGCTTTTCTCTTCCGGGATTTGCTGCATACTCAGACAAGGGCAGTGTGGATGGAAAGGGATGTTTTTTACGTTGGTGAAAGGGACGCGAGCCGACTTCTGCCTCGATATGCTTTGCTTTGGACTTCACAGGGTCAAAATGCACAGGGCCCTTTCTGTTTCGTAGGTAAGAGCTGTAGGTTTGTTAAGTTGCCAGGACCTGTTTAAATGACAACATTGATTATTAGATTATTCAGATAGAACATGATGCCATCCAGAAAATCGTATTAAGGGGTTTATATTTATACCGTAGCTATCGGAGATTTCGCCAAGACAACATTTGGACCCAGAAATCAAACCGGACATGTTGATAACTAGTCTGGAACCAAGAAGAGACATGTTGGTACATAAGACATAACCAAAGAATAATTATGTTAAGACAAAAGCAACATCAGGTCCAAAACCAGTATGTTATTGTCGAAACAAATAGACTAAAAACATTATTGCAATAATAACACATTCGTCTTACTAACCAAAACGATGGCTTATTCAAATGGCATAAATGTTGTACAGTCAGAACCATTACTTTCCGGTTGCTGCCTTGTTTTGGCCATTTATTGAGTCCATTATTGTCTTGTGTAATATGCAATGTATGGGTGTTTTATATCTTAAACACTGCAGCCTGAAGTAAAAAGAAAACTCGACCATGCCAGCCCACACTGGTGTTTCTGGTAAATAGCCTACTGCTGATCTTAAATGAGGTGGGGGGTTACTGTTAACACCTAAGCTGATGGGAAGCTTTTCTTTTTAATGCGCCATATTAATCTCTTCTTAACAGTATTTTTATAGTTGCCTTTAAGAGAATATATGCTTCATTTGCCTCCTCTCCAGTATTGTTTCTTGTTTGCCAGTGTATAATGTTCAAATTTGTTGCTTTGGTTTTGTGATAAAAGTGCCATATTATTGCACAAATACAAACATGTTAAGGCTGCACTTTTAATCTGTTTTATTTTCCATCCATTTTCTAACCACTTCTTCCAGCTCAGGGTGGCAGGGGAGCTAGAGTTTATCCTGGCAAGCCACGGGCACAGGGCTGGGTGCACCCTGGATGGGACGCCAGTCCATCACAGGGCACAAACAAGAAACACTCTCAACTCACATCAGGGCCAATTTTACCAGGTGGCAGTTTACCAAGCAGTATGTTTTGGGATTATGGGAGGAAAACCACATGAACATAGGGAGGACGTAAAACTCCAAACAGTTGGCACCCCAGGAACTGAAGTCAAGACCCAGTGGTGCCAGGCTACCCCCTGCCCCACTGTGCCGCCCGTATTTTACCACATCTTTTTATTAACACCTGCTAACATGGAAGCATTTAATGACAGTAGTGGAATATCACAGAACAAATATCACTGCTACAACATATGTGATAATGGATTCTTCATAGTTGTATTTGAAGGGTTACAGGAAAAGAAATGTAATTATCTGACTATGACCATAGGCTTTCTTTTTTTAACGACGCGGGGACGCGACAAACCTTTTATGATATTCATCTTATCTGTGAGCTGCGCAAGTTGACACCAACTGGGTGAGCCTTAAAGTTACATGACAGCTTTGTGTGGCTTGCAATAGTGTCGTTATTGACCGAAAATGATTTACGTTTAGTATGTGATTTGTGGCGTGTGGGCTAGTGCCAAATTGCATGTAGATCAAATTTCAGTCCACTGTGCATTTGATAAGAACCCTTAAAAGCAAAGAATATGATTCCTATTAAAAATAGATCTGTCTAG